CTATGCATCTACCAATTCACTGTGTCTTCTTACTTTGTTCACTGTGAGAGGAGTAGGATGGACAGATGAAGAGTGGGGAAGTATGGTAACAGAGGACATGGTAGCTCTCAGTTGTAGCTGTTTAATGAGATAAAAAGCTCCTTAGTTCTTGATTATCCATGGTTACAATTAATTTCAGATAACAGAGATACCCGATGCCTTGACCCCACCATTCTATTTTCTGTTTTTGCTTCCTTATTTATCCAGACTAGATTCAAAATTCCTTGAAAAACTGCAGTTGCCTTGTCTTCTTGTCCTTTTATGACACTGATAAAGGGGTGCTGAATGCTGCTGTAGAAAACCACACCTCCCCAGAGATGTCCGTGCACGGTCCTGGCCCCCTGCCCTCTCCTCAGTGCCCGTCTCTGCCCCGTGAGCCTGCCCCTCTCCAGCCAGCCCTCTTTGCTGGTCTCTGCCGTGGCTGTTAGAGTTTCTACACTCTTCGAATACTCCTCAGCCACATTCCCCTCTGGCTTTGCCCCTAACCCTTTCAAGTCCCCTTGATTTTCACTACACAGAAAAAAAAAAAGTCATCAGAACTCTTTCAACTTCTGTCCCTTAAAACCCACTCCGTCACTTGCATTTGCACCCAGACAGAAAGCAGGGAGGCAGTTTTCCCGCTTTATAGAGCCAGTCTCCCGACCAATCCTGAATCCCATTCTCGCTTCCCAGCCTGTATTTTCAGCCTTTCCCTCTCTCCTGACTTGAGCACAGCAGCATTTAATACATGGTCATCTCTCCTATCTGAAAAATGAAAAGGAAAAATAGAGAAATACTTCCTTGGCCCTGTATCTCCTCCAAGTATCGTCTTCTCCTCCTGCTCCCCATTGGCCGGATGCCATAGCAGGTTGCCTGCACTCCCTGTGTCTGCCTGCCGTCCGTCCTCGATTCCAGCCACTACGATCGCGCCCCTGGAACTGCTTTCGGTGCACCAGTGACCTCTCTGTGGCTCGAAGCTGATGGGCACTTCTTGGACATTATCTAACTTGCCTTTGCCAGCAGATTTTAACACCACTGAGTCTTCCCTCCTGAAAACCTTCCTTTCTTGGCTTCTGTGGCATTTGTACTCTTCTACTTGCCCTCCTCCCCAGCTGTCCCTTCACAACCTCCTTTGTCATCTTGTCTCGCGCTATGTGTGCTTCAGAAGCTGGCGCTCCTCAGGGTGATCTCAAAGGTCAGTCTCTTCTCACGCAGCACACTTGTCTCGTTGGTCTCAACGGAACCCAAATCTTCCACATCCATCTACATGCTGATGAATCCCAGATGTCTCTATGTAGCATGGAGTTCTCTCTCGGCCCTTCGGGCTGCTCACATCCAGCTCCCTACAGACATCAGATGTTTCCTCTCGTCTAGATGACCTGCAGACACCTCACAACTAGTGTATCTGCGTTGAACTCGTCTCCTCATCCTGCCTCTGCCTCCAATCCTGCTTAACTGCCTCTGTTCTCATTTCAGTGGATGGCACTACTCTGCATTGGGCTGTTTTTATGCTAGAAAGCTGGCTTACACTTAATCGTTCCACCTCATAGAATGAGAAAAAGAATCTTTGACTGCGAATTAGCGTGCTAACAGGCTACAAGCAGAGGGGTCCTTCAAAAGTGGCTCCAGTACCCCACATATTCTACCAGTTCCCAGTTACATTGATGCCGGCTTCCCACACCTCACTCAAATCCAGTCATTTCTCTCCACCCCACCATTCCCGGTTCTTAGTTCAGCCTCTGTCATCTCTCCTGGATTACTGCCGCATCTTCTTAAGCTCCCTGCCTTCAGTCCTGTCCCTTCCAGCCTGACCTGTACACCGTGGCCAGCGTGGTCTTTCTAAAAATCGGGTCTGATCATGTGTTTCCTGGTGTAGACCCTTTAGTGGCTGGCCATTACCCCTGAGTTGAAGTTGCTCTTTCCCATGACCTCAGGCCTGGCATGCTGGACTCTATTTACCTCATCTCCAGCCAATGTCTCCAGGTGTAGGTGTCCTGTGCAACTCTGACTCCTGAGGCGATCACTCCTCTGTGTTCTCCGGGCTTACATACCTGCTGTTTCATCTGCCTGGACAACTGGTCTCTGCTTGCTTGGCTAATTCTAAGCATTCCTTGGTTCTTGGATTTAGATGCCGCTTCCTCTGGGAAGCCTTTCTTGGCCTTGCACATCTGGTTTAGGTGTCCTTCCTCCATGTTCCCCAAATGTGATGCCTTTTCCCTAGCATAGAACCATTGCATGGAATTGCAACTGCCTGTGGTCACCATGGGGCTAGCTGCAGCTCTGAGGCAGTGCACGTGGCTGTCTTGCCGTGAGGAGGCGTGTAGCCTCCATACAGACTGCCACAGAGCTCCTTTGCCTCTTCCAACTGTGGCTTTAGGTTAGAATGAGAAATGTAGCTCTGAAAATGAGGCTCAGCGCCAGGAAGGCCAGACCAGCACTGGAAAGTAGGTTGCTTTAGAGTTTAATTATATTATAGCAAAATTGCTTTCTGGACATTTTTGTCACCCATGGTTCTGCATTTGTGGCTTCAAGGAGAGTGGCCACATTTGCCCGTTTCTGTCAGAGCGTGGCTTTGTAGTACAGCTGTGGGACTGGAACACAGGATGATGGTCCATTCTGCCTTCTCTCCTTTGGTCCAGTCTGATGCAGGTTGGGTTTCTAAAGAACAATGAGATGTCAGAAAGGTCAAGAGAGAAAGTAGAAAAGCAAGGGTAATCTGTAATCCACTGATTAGTGAGTAAGCCTTTGAATATCCCAAGCCACCTATTCCTGAGTAAAATCAAATTGTTTGCCATTCTGGAATGTCTTAGATAGTGTGTCTCTGGAATGCCACAGACACTGTACTGTAACCCCACACGCATTCAAAGGTGGTCTTGACATTTTTGACACAATCAAGAGATACAGGTTAAACTTTCATTCTTTTAACAGGAGGTGTGTAAGGCACATTTATGTGACCTGTGTCCAGGCAAAATATATACTGCACCCCGGGTAGAAGATCTGTATTAGTATAATATCCTTTGGCAACTGTACCTGGTCGTCCCTGGTACAGTCAGACCCTTATGTGTGAACATATCCAGGATCCTAGTTCAGGAATTTTTTTCATAGACTTTATTATAATAATGCCTTATATTTCTAGGTAGAGTTTTACAATTAATCAAGTATGTACAGATCTTGGTTTGACCTTCCAACAGCTCTTGAGGTGAGTAGGGCAGAGGTTGTTCCCATTTTCCCAGAGGAGAAACTTGTGGAGCAGAAATCGTATAGCTAGGAAATGAAGGTGCCAGGGCCTGAACCCTGGTCTCAAAATGCCTAGTCCTGTGTCTTTCCATCATGCCACATGGCTTTTTGTTCAAGATCATATATGTATGAGTGTTTCATGTATATGGGGGAGAGAATTAATTAAACCTTTCCTAAGATCTAGACCAGTTGAGAAATAGTCTGATACGGTTCCTCATAGCCAGTTGAAGAATGGGTTGAGGAATGTAGCGTGGACATAGCTTACGTTCTGCCCTTTTCCCCCTGAGTTGACGTCACCTCCGCAGTCCCAGACCTGCAGCAGGACAGCAGCAGGCCCCAGCCCACACAGAGGCAGAGCTACTATCTTGCATTGAGGAGTGCAGGAGAGGAGGGCGGACTCGGGCAGGCAGCCAGCCAGAGAGGTGGCTAAGGGGAGTCCAGGCCACACGAGTGGTCACTCCTTGTCTCATTGTCTCATAGGCATGAATTGGGTGCAGGAAACTAGGAGAGTGGCAGAAGTCTCTCCTCAGCACTTCTGAGAGTACAGGAATTCCTGTTCTGTGGGTTTTGCAGGAGAGGGTTAGGTAGGTTCTTCCTGAGGAGCTAATTCACTTGGGGGGAAAAACTGTAAACCTTTGAGTGCAAGGACACCTCATGTCTAACGCAGCCTTTCCCCCCAACGTGTATAGCACAAGGCTGAGCATGTAGTGTCCCCAACACACACTTGTTGGCCAAGCTGTGATCTTCATTATAACACAGAAGTAGCAAGTATAGATTTTGTCAGAGATAGAAAGACCCAATGTGTGAATGAATGGTGCTTAAAAACAGATGCACATTATTACCTTTACCCTCCTGGAGACATGCTGGCTAGCAGCCGAGCCGTCCTGACCAGAGGACCGTACTCTGGTGAATGCAGGGAAGTGTCTGACCCAGTGGCTCTTCTTTCAGAGAGATGATAGCCCATTGAGTCTTCCCCTTTCTTCCCTGAGCAGAGCTGTCATTTCTTATATATTCTATTTTGAACATATTCAGACATAACCTCTTTAAACCTTTCTCCTTTTGTTTTTTTTTGTTGTTGTTGTTGTTTCTGTCTCATTGTCTAGCTACTGAAGGAGATTTTTTTTCTTCTTTCCTATTCTGCTCTCTACTCCATCTCTCAAACACGTCCTTTTCCCTTTCTCAAATTTCTGTTTCTTAACCTGGTAGATAAGTGAAAGAATAGTACTGATAATATTCTTCCTGCATCAGGAGTAACATTACAGTTAATAAAGAATGAGTTTTTAAAAGTCTTGAAAGTGCCCAGAAGACCCATTCAGAAAGTCAGCATACATTTGCTTTTGTATCTTTTAATTAAGCTTTTGCTGAAGTACCAGCATTAAGAATAAAACTGTTTTTTACTAAATTTTTTGTTTTATTTAATAGTATAAGCACAGTATTAATATACGCTACCGGCTTTCATTGCAAACGAAATGTCAACAATGCATGTCAGGAGCAGACCCTTATGAGCCAACTTACGAACCCAGCTGTAATTTCTCATTTTATGGGAAAATATGCACTGTTTCCAGTTTTAGAATAGCCTTTCGGACACAGTCAATACGCTGTGTGTTCTGGAGTTGTCTTAGTGTAATGTGAACAGGATGATCTGTACCCTCTTTGTTAAGTTCCAAGCCAAACTGGGAAAAGAGGGGGGGTTTCAGTGCTTTATAAGTATAACTTACGAATTTCGATGTGTTTTTCCCACACAGGAAAAGCTTTTGACATCACCTATGTACGCCTCAAGTTCCACACCAGCCGCCCGGAGAGCTTTGCCATTTACAAGCGCACGCGGGAGGACGGGCCCTGGATCCCTTACCAGCACTACAGCGGCTCCTGCGAGAACACCTACTCCAAGGCAAACCGCGGCTTCATCAGGACGGGAGGGGACGAGCAGCAGGCCTTGTGCACTGACGAGTTCAGTGACATTTCTCCCCTCACAGGGGGCAACGTGGCCTTTTCCACCCTAGAAGGAAGGCCCAGCGCCTACAACTTCGACAACAGCCCTGTGCTGCAGGTAGGCTCTCGTGCTGGGCTCGGAGCCAGTCAGCTAGTTCTGCCGGAGTCCCACTTGTGAGGGGAGGGATCGGAGCAGAGTCCACTGCAGTGTGACAGTTCTCCTGTGTGCTGTTGCACGGTGAAGGAAAGTGATTTTGTTCCTGCTGCCTGCCTGGTTGATGTTTGTTCTTATTTTCTTAAACACTTGCAAATATATCCTGGGATGTCAACTTTACACAGTTTTTTAAAAGTTGAATGATTTTAGCTTTAGTCTTTGTACTTGAGGTTTGAAACATTTTGCTTCTGACTCTTTGAAGAGGATGTTTTGACCTAATCTACCCTGTTTTCTTACCACTTCTTTGATTTGACAAAATAAAAATGTGTTTTAAAATAAGTAAGTGAGAACAATTGAAGCAAGATATTTAAGAATGCCAATTTCCCTCATTATTATTTTTTTTTTTTTTTGAGACAGAGTCTCGCTTTGTTGCCCTGGCTAGAGTGAGTGCCATGGCGTCAGCCTAGCTCACAGCAACCTCAAACTCCTGGGCTCAAGCAATCCTGCTGCCTCAGCCTCCCAAGTAGCTGGGACTACAGGCATGCGCCACCATGCCCGGCTAATTTTTTTTTTTTTTTTGTATATATATATATTAGTTGGCCAATTAATTTCTTTCTATTTATAGTAGAGACGGGGTCTCGCTCTTGCTCAGGCTGGTTTCGAACTCCTGACCTCGAGCAATCCGCCCACCTCGGCCTCCCAGAGTGCTAGGATTACAGGCGTGAGCCACCACGCCCGGCCTTCCCTCATTATTACACAAGGGAATTTTTGCTGGGTTTGTCTGGCACTGTTGCCAATCATTATGAAGACTCTTCCTTGCCTGAAAGGATGCGTGTTAGTGATGGTGTATTAATTTAGGTAGCCCTGGTATTGTGCTTAAGTATCATGATAGAAACTATTCCCTGTTTAACAATAGAAAAAATTAAAGATTTCTTTTTTTCTCCTGAATTCTATATGCATATTCCTTATACACCGTAATGTAGAATTTTTATGTATTGCTCAGATTTCTGTGAACTTTTCCTATGGAAAAACTGGTGAGCCTCATGCCACACTCAGCACATTGACACAGAACTGGAGACGCTGCTGTCGTGTGGCTGAAGTCAACATTTAAATGGGGGTAGCCTGTACTGATTGAGACAAAGACTGGATGCAGGTTTTTGAATGTTATGTTCATTTTATGAAAAGCTGTTGTGATTTCTAGATAGGAAGTCACCCATTTTTCTGGGCTTTCTACTTTTATATCTTCTTGTTCTTTCTCTCTGGAATGTATTAGTATGTTCAAGGACTCTTTTTCTAATTTGGTTGTATGGTTTTGGACAGTGCAAATGATGAGAATATATTTATCTGGGGGTCCGTTTGACAACTTCCATTGTATTTCCATAGGTTGCCGGGAGGTATGAATGTGAAAGCACTCAGCAAACTCTGAGGTTATGGGGAGCAATGAGTATGTTTGCCAAGGCCTTTCAGAAATGTGTTTCTTGTAATGGAGATAAAGGCATGTTCAAAATAAATGGCATAAAGAGTATCTGATTTTGATAGGTGAAAAAGCAGAAGACTGAATGCCCCAGGGAGAGGTGATCTATTAATATAAATACTCTTTAAATTAGTCAACCAGCAAACATTTGACAGTCTTGTTTCTTCCTGTAGCAAATTATTGTATTATATTTTTTTGACCTGAAGAGTCAATAGTATAGTAAGTAGGAAAGAGCAATGATACAAATTTGTAACTGTGGTTTTCTGGCACCTGGTCAGCCTGGCTTGAGCAGTTCCCCATCTGTAAGAATTCTGATGTTTGCTGCTCCTTATGCTGTAGACACTAACGAGATTGCTGCATAGATTTGGTCAGTTGGTTTCATCATGCAGTAACATTAATTATGTGTCCCTGGATATCAGAGCTCTGGCTCTGATGCCCAGTTGCCAAGGAGGTTGAGCTGATTTGACTTTTAGCTGATCTGACAATGAGGAGAGGCAGGAGAGAGGCTGGCATCTCTCTTCCCATTGCTCCCTCGGCCTCCTTCCAGAAGTTGCAGTTTCCCAGATGGGGGTGGAGACTGTTCCTGGTTTGACTATATATGAATAATATATTGATCTGTAATAGTAATACTTAGCATTTATTATTGTCCTTACTGTATGTAGTGTGCTGTAATGTGACAAGCACTGTTTTAAGCCCTTTAGATATAGTAACTCATTTAATCCTCACAGTAACTCTGTAAGGTAGATACTTTTATTATCTCATTTTATAGATGAGGAATCAGAGGCCCAGAAAGGACATCACTTTCCCCAAATCACACAGCTTTAAGTGGCAGAACTGGGATTCAAAAAAAATCTAGCTCCACGTTCTGTCCTTCTTAAGATGCCCAGTATGGAAAAAAATGGCTTAGGTTCAGCCTCTAAGAAGCTTTTATTCAAGGATAATTGTTATAAAGATGAAGCCTATAGAAAATATAATAAGCATTAAAAACAGACATACGATTAGCTATTTACAGACGACTAAAAGATTCCTACCATTGTGGCCTTGAGTGGGAGTTGTTATTGGAGACCCAAGTTTGGATACAATGAAATCATCGTCTCTTCTCCTTTCTAATTATACTTGGAGACTGTGTGAAGATTAGCTTTTATGAGCTCCCCATGTTGTTCTGTCTGCCAGGTGTTTGGCATGGTTCGAGGCAGTGGTTCTTAATAGGGATATGCCTCCCGGTCTCAGGTGGAGCCTTCTGGAAACACAGACGTCTGTGCCTCTGCAGTTGCTTTAGTCTCTGCAGGTGATTCTCATGCGCAGTCCCCGGGAAAGACTTAGAATGGAAACAGTATCTTTGAGTAGTTGTATGTAATACACCCCAGTACTTAATGGTCTAAACCGTGATTCTTTCTTCTCACGATTCTGTGTTAGCCTGGGCTCTCCCGCCTGGCAGGTCAGCTGTCTGCCTGTGGTCTCCATCCTCAGGAGGCTGGGCCAGGCTTCTTCATACGATGGTGGAACTATTCCAAGAGGGCGAGTCGCTGTGCACAAGCACTTATCAGGCCTCTGCTTGTGTCGAATTTGTCGCTGTTCCCTCGGTGAAAACCCGTCACAGCCCAAGCCTAGAGTCAGCATGGAAAGGGCCTGCTCAGGGTGTGGACTCTGGGAGACATGATTCACTAAGGTCATTATTATAACAATATACCACACATGTAATCATCTAGCTAAAATTAGCTCCATGAGAGCGCATTGATTATAAGGGCTTCGATCTCCTAGAACCTGGGGAAAAGTGTACAACCCCCATGCTTGTCCTCTGCCATCTTGGCATACCTACCTAGCTTGATCAGTTGTGGTTTCTTCAAATTCATTCATTCACTCAGCAAATACTATTTGCACACCTACTATAGACTACACCCTAGGGAAACCACAGTGGACAAAACAGACAAGAATTTCCTACCCTCCTGGTGCTTACATTGTGATGGGGGAGGGGCAGGTGTGTGTGGAAACAGACAAAAAGCAGGAAAGGGAAATAGGGAGTTGGGAGGGATAGCAGTTTTAGGTGGGATGGCCAGGGAGGAGGTCACAGAGAAGGTGATATTTGGGAAGGGTCCAGATAACCGCTGACGATGTCTGATTGGTTCAGGCCAGTGTACTTGGGTATCACCCCCAGATCTGCCGGTGGTGGGTCTGCGGGAGGGAGAGGTGGTGCGGAACAGCCATGGCCAGCGTATCGGATGCAGCGTGCTGCTCCAGGAGCTCTGAGCTGGTTGTGCGGCTGGGTGTGGGCGTGGGTGCAGGGTGGAGAGACGGATGTGTGTACCGGGTACCTAATGTGTGCTAGGCACTGTATGTGCCGTTTAAGCCTCCCAACAACCTTTTGAAGAAACCAGTATTATTGTTTCTGAGACTCTGAGTAGTGCAGTGACAAGTTAGATCAAAGAAGGGAAGAGTTAAAGAGGAGAAAAACAAATACTAGGAAATTAAAGAAGTCATTGAATATTATAATAGATTCAGTGCTAGAAGAGGATTTAAGTTAAATGATACATAAATTAAATGATACATTAACTAGAACACTTTATCACATTTATGTCTCTCATCTGCCGTCCCTCTGCTTCTCTGTTACATTTCTGTTTCTGCTTCCTGACAGGAATGGGTAACTGCCACTGACATCAGAGTGACTCTCAATCGCCTAAACACTTTTGGAGATGAAGTGTTTAATGACCCCAAAGTTCTCAAGTCCTATTACTATGCTATCTCTGATTTCGCTGTGGGTGGCAGGTAAGTAAACTATTGAATCTACCTTAAAAGTGATTGGAGCTTTGTTGTAGGAGTGAATGTAGCAGGTTGTTTACAACTGTATTGATATTGTTGTTAGGCTTTTTCTTTACCAAGTGTGGGAGCAGTAATCCTTAGTGAGTGAGAACGTGTATCTGTAAAGATAGGCTACAATCTAGAATGTTTTTCTGGTTGGGTCTTCTTCTTATTCTGGAAACTAACCAATTAGTTTTTCCAAAACTGTCAAATCAACACACTTAGTGAATTCTTATTGACCATTTAACTGCAAAGGTATGAAATTACTGAGGGAAGGGTAAGACTGATCTCCTTCTGAGAAACCCTGACTGTCTTGGATCTTACAAATGAATGGGGCAGTCAATGTGTGAGTGTGTGAAAGTTCAAATACTAGTATAGTCACATAAAGAAAAAGATCAAGCAGCAGTAGAAAAGATGCCACGTGTCAAGAATGATACAGAATTGTCAGGCTAAAGAAGCAGGTGGGATCTGAGCTGGGTCTTGAAGAGTAGGGAGGATTTGAATAAGGAAGGAGAATGTCTGGGTTGGGTGCAAGAGGACAGACATGTCATGAATACAGGTTTAGAGATGGGAGAGTGTAAACCCACTTGCCTTAAGGAAAATCTCTGTATGAATTTGTAGAGTTGTGAATTCGTAAGATAGTTTGATGGCCAGAGACAGACAATAGGCTAAAAATCTTGGACTTACCTCACATGTTTTAGACTTTGAAGTCTCAAGAGCAGAAAAATTATTTTTTGCATGTATTGTTTTTGGTATGGGATTGATGGTCAGTGAAAGTTGATGGGAACTTTAATGAGAAATCAGGCAACATTTTTGGAGTAAGGCTATGATATCAAAACAGCGGATTAGGAAGATTAATGTGTAAGCAGGGTGAAAGTAGAGTACAAGTAAGAGAATTTATATTCCTGTTATGATTCTGTGTGGTCTACGTGTTAGGCAACAAAACGCTGCGTTAGTCTGGTGACAACAGAATGGAAAGGGACATATAGGTGCATTTTATTGTGAAGGCAGGATTCTTAGAACTTTAGTCAAAGATGATTTTAAGGTTTAATGATCAGGAGAATGGTGGTACCATTAATAAGATAAAGAAGATGAGCTAGTTTGGGGGAGATGATGGATGTAGTTATAGACAGGTAAAATTTTAGGGGGATATCTAAGTTTATGCAGCAAAGATAAAGCTTGGGAGAAGGATGAGAGCTGGAGATCTAAATTTGGGACTCACCCTGGCACACTGTAGATGATTCTGAACTGGTTAAGTGTAGTATTACGTAGGTGGTTGAAGCCATGGAATGGATTGCTGTCTTTAAGGAAGCAAGTGAGAGCAATGTCAGGGCTCCACAATGCACGTTAGTGTCCATGGGAATTTCCGTGAGTCCTTAGTTCATGGTCCTTCCTGCACCTACGGAATCCTTCAGGGTTTCTTGCCCCACATAACCTGACTACTGGATATCCATGTGGTGGTGAGGTATCGAATGTGTCTCACCACCTTTAGATTAGAATACTTTAACATCATTATGGCAGGTAATTGCTGACATTTATTGACTTACGTCCCTGTGCAGTCGCAACTCCTTGGTCTTCCCAATAACCCTATGAAATTGGCATTATCGTCATTCCTGTTTTACAGGGAGGCACAGAGGTTGAGTTACACTGGTAGATCACAGGGAAGGGTTTCAAACCTAGACAGCCTGGCTTCAGAGTACTCACCTTCCTAGACCGCCACACTCGGCCGCCTCTTGACACACGTTTGTCTCCAGGATTCTATAGATATCCTCAGAAACTATTAGGGACTTTATTCTCATGTCTGGCTGATACCCCATCATTTGTTAAATAAAGCTACCTTTTTGTTTGTTTAATGTTTCTTCATCCCCGAAAATTCAAACAGCCATTACTTAATCTTGCTCAGTTGCTGAGTTCACACTTCTGAATGGTAAAACTCAAAAATGTTCTTAGGTTGTTTTTAGTTCTCTGTGTACATAGTTTTTCTGCATGCATTCCTGGGACTTTGCCACAGTTCCATTCTTTGGAGCGTCTCTTCTCTCCCCAGGTGTAAATGTAATGGACATGCAAGCGAGTGTATGAAGAATGAATTCGACAAGCTGGTGTGTAATTGCAAACATAATACGTATGGAGTAGACTGTGAAAAGTGTCTTCCTTTCTTCAATGACCGGCCATGGAGGAGGGCAACGGCTGAAAGTGCCAGCGAATGCCTGCGTGAGTCCCCCTTGACATCAATCTGCTCTGTTGTCCTAAGGACTTCCGAGGGTGAAAGAAAGGAATGGGTGCCCTCCTTTTGTTCCTCCTTGAAAAGAAAGCTCCGAAAGCCCATGCTCTTTTGCATAGTTTGAAAGAGTAAAACAGTAAACTGCATGCATGTCAGAGGAAGATCATAGATGAAGGCAATTGGCTGTAAACTGTGCTGGCTTTGTGTTTCCTTCATGAACACACAGAGGGAGAGCAGCCAGAGGGAGATGCCAGAGAGAGAGCAGCATCTTCAGGGTTTGGAAGTCTGCATTAGCTCCAAGTACTAGGCCAGTGCAGCTTACTCTAGAATATGGTTTCTCTAGTCTTGTCTTTGTTGCCCTTTAAAATCTTCCTCCTACTCATTTACTCAGGCAGCCATGGTCATTGATTAACCTGTGTCAAGTACGATGAGTTCTAGGCTAAGACTGCCATTCATAAAATTGTTTCTCAAAATCATTTTTCATTTATCTCATTAAAGAGTGCAATGAGAATTTTCCCACTCTCCCCACGGAGAGGTGGGCGACTTTGGGAGGAAGATTAGGTCCTAATATTTCTAGAAAAGGGCAAAATGAAAAAGGTAGTAGTACATTATTTATCCCTTCCTAATGCACATGGTTTATTCTGAACAGATAAATCTCAGGAGAAAGGAACCAGGTAATCATGATTTGCCAAGGACTTAACAATAAAACTTTTAAAGCAGCTGTTAAGTGTCTTATGTCCTTACAAATATTCTTTATTGCACTCTTTTGGAAATAAAGGGAATAAGAAAGAAGACACTGTGAACTTACAGAAATTATTGGCAGAATCTTTGAGAAGGGACCGATATCTTTATTCATGAGTATTTCGATTGAGCTGCCTAGAGCAGATTTTCTTACTCATTTTTTCTTTCTCTCAAAAAAATCCCAGATTTGCAAATAAAATTTACAGCCTCTAGCGTTCGGAAGCACTTGCTTGAGCTTCTTTAATTCCATTATTGAACTGTAATATCCAGTGTTAGAAGCTATATGATAAAGGCTGGTAAAAGGAAAAAAAACCAAAAACGACATACTCCTAAGACACAGCATCTAAATAGACATGTGTACCTGAAAACTATTCTGTTTAATGATATCATATTTTGAGTCTATCCAGGAAATTACTAAAAAAATAAACATTGCCAGCTTACCACTAGCAAATGGCCTGGGTGCTGTAGCTGAAGGAGTTCGATGAGGAACCAAGTCAATTTGCTTTTCTTCTTGGTCCTTTCAGCACTGTGTTGCCTCAAAGAGTGAAGTTTCTGGATGCTGTGGCAACCCCACATTATTGTCGGGATGCTGGGGCTAGGGAGAGAACGTTACAGCTGCCTTCGCCCAAGGAGGGAGGAGCAGCATCTGCTTTAAGCTGTGGGCTGGACATGGGGCTTGTTCTGCTCCATAGTCTCAGCATCAGACCACTCAGGTGGGCTGACTGCGGGGAGGGAGGGCTAATCTAGGGCAGCTCGAGGGAGGAGAAGTAGCTGATGAAGAAGGGAAAGGGAGCTATACATCTAGCTTGACAAAACTCTAATTTTTGGTGCCAGTGACTCAAGTTTTTAAAAAAGTTTTTATTATAATAGTGTGCTATAAAAGAACTTATCATAAAGAAGGAAAAAAACCAAAATACATATATTCAAATATTTTTTAAAAATAACATGTCCTGCTCTGACTGAACCCATATAAAACTTAATTTTTATTTAATGCTCAAGATACTGTCTGTATTTTGGACAGAGACAATAATTCTGAGAAAATTATCTTACCATAAATATAGTAAAGAATTTCTGGGACTACAGATACTTGTTCTTGAAATATGTTTGTGCCCTGTGGGAATATAGTCACTTAACAGATGACCCAGTTGGAACTATGGCTCCCGAGTAGAATGGATGGATCTGGAAGGTCTAGATTTCCCTTTAATTCTTCTTCCACCTACAGAGGCATTAATTTTAACCCATGTTTCTCGACTTGCCCCAGTCTGGACATGCAATTAATCTGGCACTTTGAAAGTTAGTATCTTAATATATTTGAATCATATGGAGCCTAAGAAGTTAAGTTAAATTGAAGGGAGCATGTAAAATGGCACCTCATTCTTAGAGTTGATACTCAATGAAGGAGAAAGATTCAGGAAAATTGTATTTTGACTTGGCTTTGACTTGTATGTGAACAGCTACCTGGAGGCACATTGTTTTCTAAGTACAGGAATTCCTTGCAATATTTTATGATAGTGCTATTTTTTGTAAGGTTGAACAGTTTTTAGTAAACTGATAATCTGGCTATATAAACCCTTATTAACATACTGTTGTTTTGTTTTTTGTTCTTAATGAATAGTGTCTGGTGGTCATTCTTATTCTGCCACCATGTATCTATCTGTCTCAGAGATGTGGGAAATTATGGTCTGGTTTTCTTGGAGCCTTTTTAAATGCTGCTGTTAAAGGTACACAGATCTGACATAACTCACGTGTTTTGGCCGACAGCCTGTGACTGCAACGGCCGATCACAGGAATGCTACTTTGACCCTGAGCTATACCGTTCCACCGGCCACGGTGGCCACTGCACCAACTGCCGGGACAACACGGACGGCGCCAACTGTGAGAGGTGCCGCGAGAACTTCTTCCGCCTTGGGCACAACGAAGCCTGCTCTCCGTGCCACTGTAGCCCTGTTGGTAAGTGACGGGAAAGTGGATTGAAAGATAAAATAAGAGTTCCCTGTACGTCCCCCCTCACCCCCCAGAAAATAAAGCTTTATGTCCTGGCATTTGCACAGCCCCGTGTGGAGGTGTGTACGTTATTGTAGCATAAATGATTCCGGACCTGCCTCACAGCTCCGCTCTCTTTAACGAAGTTGAACTTTCAGATGGTTTTCTGGTGTATATGAAAGTGTGGAGGTGGGGTGCTGAGTAATGGCTCTGTAAATAATTGGCAGCCAGATCATAGAGACCATCTGAACTTTGTAAAAGGTTAACTGTTTTGTGAGTTCTTCCTTGTTAATGATTTTGTTTAGTCTGATCTTCTTAGAGGGCGGGACCATTCCCGGTGTGTTGGCGTGTGTCCAGAGATGCACGGCACTCTGGACAGTGGGCACTCTGGACAGAGCCCAGTGGGCTCTACCTTTTCAAGAGCTTGACCTTTATTTTTCTTGTTCAGGCCCATCTGTACGTAAATTCTAGACATGGGCTTCAAGGAGCTGTGCTGGCCCACAGAGGAGTGGCTGGTCTTGTGTGCATTGCACTGTTGGGTGCAGAATAATTTGTTTTTCAGCATTGATGAGTAGATTCATCTTAGGGTCTGTCTGGAAAGTTAAAATATCATGGCTTAAAAGGGTTTGATTTTGAGAGAGTTGTGATTTTAAATTTGATCCTTATTCTCTCTGTGACCATCTAGAGATTACAGATTGGTTCTCAGGCATCGCACTTAGTTACCAGTTATCTGTCTTCAACATACTAGTTTTACTTTCACATCTGGCTGGATCTGTGTTGACAGTGAGCTCTTCCCATTTCAGGTTCCCTGAGCACACAGTGTGACAGCTACGGCAGATGCAGCTGCAAGCCGGGAGTGATGGGGGACAAGTGTGACCGTTGCCAGCCTGGATTCCATTCTCTCACTGAGGCAGGATGCAGGTAAAATGTTTTCAGAGCCAGAAGGGTAATTTATAGATTATATCCAGTCAATTTATGATAATAGATCCTGTGGCTTATTGGTACCAATGCGAAGATTTTTCCTATAACAGTTGTCAGCAAGACTCAAGACTAGCTGTGCTAATGAGCCATGAGGGGTTTGGTTTGTACAGAGAGTAAAACAGAGGTTTCATGTCTACAGGATGAGTATCTTAGACTGAAACCAAATCCAAATATAAAAATGACTTTAGGATTCTTTTTGTTTGTTTTTAAAAATCAGCATGTGACACAAAAGCTTGACTTTAAGAGTAGAATTTCTCTCTGCAAAAAAAGATTTTAAAAAGAAAAAAAAAAGAGTAGAATTTCTTTTCTCTCTTATTTGTTTTATTCCATTTCCCATCAACTAGGCCGTGCTCTTGTAACCCTTCTGGCAGCACAGATGAATGTAATGTTGAAACAGGAAGATGCGTTTGCAAAGACAATGTCGAAGGCTTCAACTGTGAGAGGTGGCTCATTCTTTTCTCTAGCTGTATTGTGTTTTCTCTGTTATCACTTCTCAAGTAAAAAAGAGTAACTGCTTGTGTCTTAATCTTTTTTAGATGCAAACCTGGATATTTTAATCTGGAGTCATCTAATCCAAGGGGTTGCACACCCTGCTTCTGCTTTGGGCATTCTTCTGTCTGTACAAATGCCGTCGGCTACAGTGTTTATTCCATCTCCTCTACCTTTCAGATCGGTAATTTAGACCTCATCCCCCAACCTCCTAGAACTGTGGGACTACACTTACAATATATATATTTTTTAAAAAATCAGACGCTCTTTGAGGGATTTTTGATGGTGGCCCTACTTCTTGGTATTTAATATGCATAATTTTTCTTATTTGGCCTTTTAATTTAATGAAAATATGATTATGGTTTTAGAATTTACCATAATGAATAGTGAATACAAATGTTATATAAATAATAACAAAGTAAAATACAGCTTGAGGGGCATAGCATATATAGATACTGTTGTAGGATTCATTTATGCAAAAACTTTTATTGGTGACTTTCTGTATACAAGGTGTGTGGTCGTACACATTTTTGTGGTATATAGAGGACCTGAATTCAGGATGTGTACAGTGTAACAGTGCTTGTGTTTCCATTCTCTGCCTGCAGATGAGGACGGGTGGCGTGTGGAGCAGAGGGATGGCTCTGAAGCCTCTCTCGAGTGGTCCTCTGAGAGGCAAGATATCGCCGTGATCTCAGATAGCTACTTTCCTAGGTACTTCGTTGCTCCTGGTAAGTAAGGCTAGAAAGCAGGCTGACTTAGTGTGTGCTTCCATTTAATCTCATTCTCACGTTCTTGCTCACCGTGTGTCTGCATTTCAGCCAAGTTCTTGGGCAAGCAAGTGTTGAGTTATGGTCAGAACCTCACCTTCTCCTTTCGAGTGGACAGGAGAGATACTCGCCTCTCTGCAGAAGACCTTGTGCTTGAGGGGGCTGGCTTAAGAGTGTCGGTACCCTTGATCGCTCAGGGCAACTCCTATCCCAGTGAGACCACTGTGAAGTATGTCTTCAGGTAAGATAACCTTCTTTGTAAAATCAGACTTGACCAGCATTGTGAGAGTGTTTTTTTAATCTCAGTTTATCTGGCCTCAGGGTATATGTGAAAGAGAAACTGCTGGGTTATCATGGTGATATTGTAAAAGGGAGTCTTCCTTTGTTCACTTTTACCTTTTCCAGTTGTGCTATCAAATCAATAGATTCGTTTTTGATTTGATTAGATTGTCATAGCCTTGCATTGTTGGTGGCATTAGGGAATAAGAAATGTTTTCCCAACACCCAGAATTATCCTGATAAGAGGTTTATGTGGCCCTTTCTTTCTCTCTAGGCTCCATGAAGCAACAGATTACCCTTGGAGACCTACCCTTACCCCTTTTGAATTTCAGAAGCTCCTAAACAACTTGACCTCTATCAAGATCCGAGGGACATACAGTGAGAGAAGTAAGTTGTGATATAATTTAGGAGAGTTGTTTAAGAAGATGATTAGGTAGAAGGATCTGTGAGAATGCAGAAGTTTCTCTCTCTAAATACTATAACATGGAGAAGTGTTTAAACTACCACATTATACACAGATTATATATTTAAAAAATATATTTTTGTAACTACTTTTAAGGACCTAAGGAAAATTTGCTAGCATCAGTAAATAATATTGTTTTATAAATAATAAGCTAATTGAGGTTATATTGTATATAAATAGATTTTCTAAAAAGCCTAATTATAATTCTGGCTCAAGTTGCTTAATTTTCATTTCTTTTTATTTACTGCTATATAATTATCAAGCCCTTTGAACCACTGGCTTAAATTATTAAAAATGATAAATTATTGAATGAACATTTGTTATCATTTTAGGTGAACGAGTCTTTTAAAAATATGCCTTTAAAATTATTTTCCTTTAAAAATTTTGAAAATGAGGAACTTTTTCTTAAGTTACAGCTGTTTGGGGAGGTGACATCAGGGTGGTGGCATGGCATTGGAGTGGCATCGGCAGCTGGGATGTGTTGACGTTGCAGAGGCCTGCACGGATATCCCGATGAACGTGTCTTATAAGTAGTTAGAAATCTGGATCTGGGCTTAGGAAGAGATTAGGACTAGAGATCTAGATTTAGAAAGTTGTCAACATATGGGCAATAATTTTTTAACTTGGAAATATAAGATACAGAGAAAGAAAAAGAGGATGGAAGCCTGAAAACATAGTTAAGGTCCATGTCCTGAGACCCAAGGAAGAAAAATAATTTTAAGAAAGAAAAACAATGAATAGGTTTAGGAAAATAGCACCATCGGGTTTTGGATGGGGTGATTAAGGAGTCATTGGTGAGTCCTTGGTGAGTCATTGGTGAGTCATTTTGTTTTTCTTTAAGAAGCATTGAAACTGAAGTTAGATTGCAGTGCTTTAAAAGGTAATTTGAAAGTAAAGAAATGAATATTCTTTTAAAAAGTTTGGCTATAGGGAAGGAAAAGAGAGTATAATTTTAGAGTAGGAACAAGATTAAAGAAAGAGTCTTTTTTAGGAAGGGAAGACTTAAAGTAGTCCTGGCTATTGAGACTTAGTCATTTATACTGTTTTATGGGGGGCAAAACAATTAACTTGAGTATTACCTTTTGACAGGTGTTTTCTCTTCTATTTCATCCTTGAACTCTAGTCAGTGCCTACTGTGGGCAAAAGAACAAAAACACTGCTGAATGGCTATAGACTTAAACTCTTCTTTTCCCCTACACTCTTATTCATATCTCTTTTTGCCCCAAATGATTGTCCAACACTTCTCTTTTCATATTGGTGACTGGGAGAACTGTAAAATCTGACAAATGTGTGTGTGTGTGTGTGTGTGTGTGTGTGTGTCTATAAAAATGCAAGTTTGCTATACCACTGCTCCAGATACTGAGCACCAGTAACACATGATTATTCTAAATGTTATTTTCTTATTACCTTCTCCAGTGGATGAATTAAGCTAATGGCTGGTTTTCTCTGGAATTTTGACTCTGGCTACTTTTTAGCGTTGTTGACTTTTCACAAGATTTTGGAAAACAGGAGCCAGTTCAGTGAATCTCTTTCCCACGCCATACACAGGTGCTGGATATTTGGATGATGTCACCCTGGCAAGTGCTCGGCCCGGGCCTGGGGTCCCTGCAACTTGGGTGGAGTCCTGCACCTGTCCAGTGGGCTATGGAGGGCAGTTCTGTGAGATGTGCCTCTCCGGTTACAGAAGAGAAACTCCGAGTCTTGGACCATACAGTCCATGTGTGCTTTGCACCTGCAATGGACACAGTGAGACCTGTGACCCTGAGACAGGTGAGGTGATCTTTGGGAGTTGCTGGCCCTGACTTCTCTTTCACAGCTGAGTAGGAAATGCTCATTGTCTCACTTATTTATACACTCGCCTGTTTTCTCACACTCGCTCTCCAAATAGGTGTTTGTAACTGCAGAGACAACACAGCTGGCCACCACTGTGAGAAGTGTGGTGATGGTTACTATGGAGATTCAACCATGGGCACCTCCTCTGATTGTCAGCCCTGCCCGTGTCCTGGGGGCTCCAGTTGTGCTGTTGTCCCCAAAACAAAGGAGGTGGTGTGCACCAACTGTCCTACTGGGACCACTGGTGAGTCTGCTGTTTCCATCTGCTTTCAGTGTTCTAGCCAATAAAAAGACCTGGGGAAAGGGGTTTTAGGGTTTTTTTGTTTGGCTTATGGGTGACTGTGGATTTTGTAGGCAAAAGTTTATAGGAAATGATTAATTATGGATTCATAAAATGAGTATTAATTAACTAATAATAGCTAACACCTGTTGAGTATTTGTGGCCAGGGACTGTTCTGAGCACTTTACATGTACTGCCTCATGAATCCTCATGGGGTAAGTCCTGCTCTTATTCCCATGTTACACCTAAGAAAATGGAGGCACGGGGACATTACATTAATTGCTTGAGGCCCCAAGGCTGGACATCGGTTGAGCTCGGATTTCAACCCAGGCAGCCTGGCTCCAAAGACACAATGCTCCCTACAATATATTCTCTCTCATAAGATGAGAACCGCAACTTGAGTTTTAGTTTGTGGGGTTGTCCTGGGATTCTTTTATATAAAGTGGTAATTTTAAATTCTTTAAATTCTTTCTCTAAATAGTCCTTTTAGTGCGTCAGAGTCTATCACATTTAGTTGGGAAAATATATATATATATATATATATTTTTTTTTTTAATAGCTTCATATAGGCTGTTCCCACTCTGTGTGTGTCTTTCCCTTCGTAAGAATGTGAAGCTAGATCTGCCCTGGCTGCTCAGAGCTGCCTGGTTGACTCCCTGCAGAGACTGGCGCTCGGGGAGAGCGTCCCCTTCGCTCCCTGACTCTCAGTGGAGAGGTTCTTACCGTGCTTCTTGTACAGACTCTGACTCCAGTGCAAGCTTCTTTCTCAAAAGATGCTGTTATACAGCATGAAAATAAATGTAAAAAAAAAAAACCCCAAATGAAACAAAACCAAGCTGATAATCGGAATCGCTTTTATCTCATTAAAATAGCCTTTAATTATTAGGAGACATCAAAAGGCTCCACCTTTCTTCCACCTCTCCACTGGCCCCGCACCAAGCACAGAGGAACTGCAGGGCAGATCCAGTCATTTGTTTAAAGGTAGTCAATACAACAAGGAATGGAAATTAGTATAGAATTTCATATTTCTGACTCTTTCCTGACTTTTTTTTGAACGGCGGCCCAGCAGAGTCTCACGCGGACAGACCTCTCCAGGCTCGTTGCCCTCCTCCCTCCCTGGCACCGTGCTCTCTGCTCCAGCCCTTCGGGCTTTTTTTAGTCCCTAGAGTGTGCCAGATTCTTTGACCTGCTCTTGGCCGCTCTCTTTCTTTAGACTGATTTCCTCCTACCCAAACCTCACTTCTTTTGGTCAGCTCCTGTCTGTTGTGTGACTTAAGACTTGAAACTTCCACAGGAAGGCTTTCCTCAGTGAACCCGCCCCTCCTTACTGCCCCCGATTACTGGGGCCCCTTCCTCTGTTGCCGGAGCACACAGTTGGTGTTTCCCTTTGCAGTGTCGACTTAATGTAGCATTTTGGTGAGAGATTCCTTTATTCATTCTGTTGTTTGAGCAGACTTCAATTGCAAAATGAAACAATTAAGCATTGTGGTGACAGTCTTATGTCTATATTTAATAATACAAATGATGAATTGAGACTATTTGGGATACTTAGTGGAAAGGTAGAATATAATACAGGAGATCTTGGAAAATGTTATAAACCTACTAGTTGCTATCCGGATGTCTCTCACGCAAGACTAGTGAAATACATTTGTTAGCTATCACCTGGCTTGAAAGGAATTATCTGTAGTAATTCTTGAGGATGTTAATTAGGGTATAGAGAAGTCTGTATGAGAAACAGCACAGACTCTATTAAAAAAATGCCATCACTCTTTATCCTTATATCTGGCTTTGGTTTTTTTTCATAGGATTTTTTGACCACTTAATTTTTTTTTTTTTGGAGACGGAGTCTTGCTTTGTTGCCCAGGCTAGAGTGAGTGCCGTGGCGTCAGCCTAGCTCACAGCAACCTCAATCTCCTGGGCTCAAGCAATCCTCCTGCCCCAGCCTCCTGAGTAGCTGGGACTACAGGCATGTGCCACCATGCCCAGCTAATTTTTTCTATATATATTAGTTGGTTGGCCAATTAATCTCTCTATATTTATAGTAGAGGTGGGGTCTCGCTCTTGCTTGGGCTGGTTTCAAACTCCTGACCTAGAGCAGTCCGCCCACCTCAGCCTCCCAGAGTGCTAGGGACCACTTAGTATTTTTATTCAGTTGTTTATTGTTTCTGTTCTCCACCCTCCTGTCCCCCTTCCTTGGTTTAAGCACCATAAGAGAAGGGACTTTGTTTTATTCACTTTTGCATAAACCAGAGCACCCAGAACAGTGTTAGGTATGGGTATTTGTTGAATGAATATAAATGTTTGCTAAATAAATGAATAGTGGTTGCAGATAAGAAGTAAGATGTTCCTCATATATAAGATTGTCAAAAGTTATGAATAAATACTGCTAGCCACTGAGATCTTTATGCATGGTATGCCTTTACATGTAATTTAATCTTTAAAACAGTCTTTTTGGGTAAATAAGTAGTAATAACTTTTTCCCCCCAATAAATTTGAGTTCACGTCTTTCAGAATACAAAATGAGTAAGGGATTCTTTAGAGGATAAAATTCTTTAGAGGATATTCTTTAGAGGATAAAATTATAAAGGGAAACAGATAATTTTAATATAGTATGGTTAATTCAGATAAAAGAACGTACACAAGAGTGCTAAAAGAGTAGAGAGGAGGACGCCTCTCCCAGTGGAGGGAGGGAAGATAAGAAGGTCTAAGGCTAGAAAAAGTATCTCACTTGCCCAGAGTCACGTAAGTGGTACAGCCAGGATTTGAACCTAGATCCTAGACTTTAAAACAAAGGCATAGATAGACTGGCTATAGTTGCCAATGAGTATTTTGGAGTGAGTATTTCATGGGCTACCAGGTAGCTCTATTTTAGCTTTTCTACCAGATTTTAGTTTCATTCAAAAGGTTTAAAACTTTTAAAATAAGGATATCTAGAACAGCTGAATGACCTGGTGAAAAAAGCACAACCAAAATCCTGTTGTAATCCTAATCTGGAGTGGATCTTGGGTGAGAGTCTGGCTGCTGTTTGCACCAGAGACCAGGAGGATCCCTAGCTTCTTTCCTTCTCCAGTGTCCTGTTAATTCGCACCCCACCCCACCCCCCACCCCAACTGCATTTGCTGTTCAGCTCAGTCCTCACCTTACCCAGTCTTTTGCAATACTCAACTCTGTTTTCTGTTCCCCTTGCTCCAGACATTTTCTCCTCATGCCTTCTGTGACACTTCACTTTGTTTTCCTTCTACCTTTCTTCCTTCGGGTGCCCTTTCATTGTCTCTGTTTCTCAAAGTCCAAGGGCTCTCATGCCAGCTTGATCTCCAGCCTCCCTTTAGGTGATCCACTCTCATCCTCACACTTCAAAAGCCTTTCTGTGCCTGTGGTGGCAAAATCTCCGTCTTCAGCCCTGACCTGTCTGTCCTGAGTACCCGCTGCCTACTTGCCACCTCGGTGGGGTGGGGGGGCTAGAAGCCTTGTGCTCGCCCCGCGGCATCCACTGTGCACCTTTGTCTACTCTGATGAGAAATGTGTGTGCTACATTGAGTGCCAGGCTCCATTTGAGCTCGGACAGCAGGAGGCACATATAGGAGATCACAGAGCAGGAGGGTGAGGGCATCTATTCCAAGACCCCTTTCTGTGGGGTCCTCTGGGTTGATAACCTCAAATCAAAGTTCTCAGCTCTTGGCAGGAGGCCTTCTCCAAACAGCTCTTCTAACCTTAGGTCTGCTAAGTGCTTCCTTCATCTGTCCCCTGATGCCCTGGTAGTGGAGCTATCCCAGGTGGCTTCCCTACATTCTGCCCATACTCCTATAAATAGTACCTGTAGTAAACTTTCCTCAAATCATGCTGATTTAAATATACCAACTATTTTCTGCTTTGATCTTAATGCACATATTAATAGCTAAGGAATCTCAAATTTGAGCAAATCCAAGTTAAAATTTTGGTTTCCTCCCTTTTTCTCCAACCCCAAGTCTGTTGCTTCCCCAATCTTGTTCATCTCAGTAAATATACTACCATTAACCTGGTTGCTCAAGCTAAGACCCTAGAACATATACATGATTCTTCTTTCTTTCATTTCCCAAAAGCAACCAGTCAGCAAGTCTTACTGATTCCATCTCAGATCTGACCACTTTTCACACCTCCACTGCCACCACCCTGGTTCAGACCACTGTCATCTCCCGCCTAGAATCGCTCATTGGTCTCCTACTTCGCTGCTCCCTTCCGATCCATTCTCCACATGGAAGCCAGAATAATCCTTTAAAAATGTACCTCAGATACATTTTTTAAAAATGTATTTGTATTTTAAAACCCTGCAAGAGCTTCTTGTATCACTTACATTTAAATCCAAATTCCTTGCTATGACCTACATGGTCCTACCTGGACTGAGTGTTACTGCTTCCGCGGCTCATCTTGTTTCTCTGAAACATTCTTCCCTTGGGTATTGTCATGGCCGGTTTCTTTTGTCTTTCCATGGCCATCCCAATGTCCTAATGTCTCTTTCTTACAGAGACTTTCTCTAATCACCCAATCTAAATTAGCCCTTACCCTTGCTCTATCATGTTGCTCTGTTTTGTTTAAATTTTTTATGCTTATCCCTGTCTGAAAAAATCTTGTTTATTTGTATGTCAGTGTATTGGTCTCCAGCGACTGCAGCATAAGCAGAGACCATATTAACTTGTTCACATCATTCTGATGACCTAGAACAGTGTTGATAGATAGCAGATGCTCAGAAAATATTTGTTGAATGAATAAATGAACAAATCTCTGATGCTCCAAAAATGTTAGGCTAATTCATGCCCTACTGGCTATAAAGATATCAAGAGCTCAACTTGAGCTAATAATGGTGGGAAAGTAGAAAAGGAAGGATGAGAAGCAGTGAGTTTAATCCTCTTAGTGCAGCAGGCCGAAATAACGGCTTTTGCATCTAGGGCGAAAAGTGTGGCAGGCGGATATATTGGCTCCTACGTAGTTAACAATGGTCTACGTAAGAGCCACTATATCCGATATGGTAGAAAGAGCCCTGATTCTAGCCCTGTCTCTCTTCCTGTCAGTTACTTGGTTGTGGGAAGGCTCTTACCCTCTCTGTTCTCTTAGCTGCGATAGAAGCAGGTGGCAATTGATTTCTAAGTTTTCTTCTAACATGTTCTGATTCTGTACCAGTTGACACTACCCAACAAGGATTAGCACATGCCCTTTACATTCTAAGTAATGATCCTACACACCTTGTTGTATGGGATTCATACAGATGTGGTAAGAGTGGCACTTCATCCTTTTCAATATCCTCAGCCCAAACAACATAAATGCGCCATCGTTTGGGACTTGGAGAGGTTTATGAACCTTGGACCTGATTTATTTACAGAGCACCTATAATACATAATTTTGGTTGATTGTCAGAACAATTTAAAGTGAAGTAGGCAAAGCAAGTGCTTCCTTTCTAGTGAGGAAATGGAGGTGTGCTCAAGGTCACTCCACCGGTCTGGCCAGTGCCAGGGCTACAGCCCAGGCCGTCCGCCCTCCACTGCACCATGCCGTCTTGCATCTGATGGTTAGAGTAGCCTATCTTTAACCGGTGGTAACATCACTCCAGAAATGTCTAAGACCTTTCCTTCATAACATCAGATTGTCTCATCCCCAGGTAAGAGATGTGAGCTCTGTGACGATGGCTACTTTGGAGACCCTCTCGGCAGGAACGGCCCTGTGAGGCTTTGCCGCCTGTGCCAGTGCAATGACAACATCGACCCCAACGCGGTGGGGAATTGCAATCGCTTGACCGGAGAGTGCCTGAAATGCATCTATAACACTGCTGGTTTCTACTGTGACCGGTGCAAAGATGGGTTTTTTGGAAATCCGCTGGCTCCCAATCCAGCAGACAAATGCAGAGGTAATCAGCCGTTGATGAGAGGCTGTCACAGTTATGGTCCTTTAGTTTGAGAATCCATGTGTGTCGCTTTAAATATTTAGAGTTATTTAGTGCAAACCACTTACACAATTTAAAATTTTCTAGTCCCCACATTAAGAACATAAAAAGAAATTAAGTGAAATGAAGTCTAATACATTCTACTTAGCCTAATATATCCAACATCTTACCAGTTCAATAAGTAATCAATAAAAAATTATTAATGAAATATACATTCTTTTTTCCACACTAAGTCTTCAAAATCCAATGTATATCTCACATTTATAGCATATCTCAGCTCAGAATAGCCAGCCACATTTGAAGTGCTCAGTAGCCGTGTGTGACCAGTGGCCACCATACCAGATAACACAAGTCTAAAGAATGTATTTGAATTGTTAATATTTAAGTATTTCTCTCAGGTGATTTGCATCTTGTGCTGTCTGTCTTCCTGCCTTAGCCTGCAGTTGCAATCCGTACGGGACAGTGAGGCAGCAGAGCAGCTGCAACCCTGTGACGGGGCAGTGTGAGTGTCTGCCCCACGTGACTGGCCGGGACTGCGGCTCCTGCGAGCCAGGGTTCTACAACCTGCAGAGCGGGCAAGGCTGTGAGAGGTGAGACGTCGGTGCCTTTGGTGGAAGCAGTCTTTGCTTTTTGTATTATAAGAAATGAATTTTTGTAAGCTGTGCCTAATAGTTGGTTTGACTTTGTTCAGAAACTATTTGAGTGCCTAATATAGGCAAGGCATCCTTTAGGGGCAATACTGGAGGATTATAATTAAGCTAATGGAAGAAGGGAGTGGAGCACAGTGGCCCCAGGTGTGTCATAATCACCTGAGCAGCATTTTAAAAGTACAGACTACAAGGTCCTTTCTGAGGTGCTTAGAAGCAAACCCTCCAGGGTTTGTAGGCTGGGAATTCCTGTTTTCAAAGCTCCCAGTCCAGGGGTCCTCAAACTTTTTAAACAGGGGGCCAGTTCACTGTCCCTCAGACCATTGGAAGGCTGGATTATGGTTTAAAAAAACTATGAACAAATTCCTATGCACACTGCACATATCTTATTTTGAAGTTAAAAAACAAATGGGCAAAAACACCCCGCATGTGGCCCATGGGCCGTAGTTTGAGGACGCCTGTCCTAGTCAGTGTTGATACAGTGCCACGTTGAGAGCTGCTGGTAGCAGTAGGTTAGAAAAAGAGATTCTGAGTAGTGCTTGTGAAAATTACCAGAACCTCAGGGGCTTAATAACCCTCAACATAGAGTTTTCTGGTACATACTATATCAGTGTTGTGCTGAAAAAAAAGTTTTGCTTCAAGTCTGTTTTTTTTACCTGAGAAATGTCCTGTGTTCATTTTCAGGTGTGACTGCCATGCTTTGGGTTCCACCAACGGGCAGTGTGACATCCGCAATGGCCAGTGTGAGTGCCAGCCTGGCATCACCGGTCAGCACTGTGAGCGCTGTGAGGTCAACCACTTCGGGTTTGGACCTGAAGGCTGCAAACGTAAGGGGTGTTGTGGCATACAGCTCTTAAGTCTCCCCTCATTCCAGTTAGTCTCCTAAGTCCAGAAAGGACTTTGCCAGCCTTGGTCTAGCCACCTGGCTTATAGTCAGGTCTCTGCCTAAGTCATCGTAGATACTTTATTCAAATGAATGCTATTTTTTTTAAAACTTTGGTGATCAAGAGCTTCTCTGGTTTCTTTGCAACCACCTTATTTATGTTTTCTTTTGTAGTGTTTCTGATTCTTCCTTTTTTCAATGTTTGATTTTGCCAAAGAAAAGTATCCCTTGATTACTGAGCTTTCCCACTGTGCTTAGTGAAACTTTTTTATTGATCACATTCTTAGTGCAGATAATGAAACAGTGAAGGATTCTCTTCACACTGTGTTTGTTGACTTACTGGCTGCAGTTGCTTTCCACCCTTGGGGCCCTTTTGATAAGGTTACATATAAACATCTGCTTCTCCTTGGCATAAACAATTGCCTGGAATTAGGCCTCAGAACAGATTGGTTTTTCGCTTTCTGAATTTCTTCATTTCTTCTGGGGAATGTAGCATAAATTGTTGACTCAGTTCAGAGAAAAGAATGAGTAAACAAAGTATAAAATAATGCAAAAGAAGCATTGAGTTTTCTGGTTCCTTAGAGAAATACCAAACAGTGGGGATGATAGAAGGTAGAGATGAATTCTTGAAGTGCATAAAAAGGGTACTGATTAGTTTAATAACTAATTCTATAATTACTGGGTATCATGAAATATGCCCCAAGAGGATGCATATTTTACTTTAAAGCTTATTTTTACTTTAAAAAAATCTGTTTTCTCTGCTAAACAGACTTAATTAACCAACTAAAATCTCATAAGTAGGCCTGTTTTTCAAAAAAATGTGTACTTACAATGATAATGTAGTCAGCTTATTGATACCAGACTGAACTAAGATAAACTGTACTCTTCCATCTTTTGCTTATTATGTGTTATTTTCCCCTTACTCTGCAGCCTGTGACTGTCATCCTGAGGGGTCTCTTTCACTCCAGTGCAAAGACGATGGTCACTGTGAATGCAGGGAAGGCTTTGTGGGTAATCGCTGTGACCAATGTGAGGAGAACTATTTCTACAATCGCTCTTGGCCTGGCTGCCAGGAATGTCCAGCTTGTTACCGGCTGGTAAAGGATAAGGTAAGCTGTCACCAGCGCGTGTTCTCATTCATTCAGCAGACGTTGAATGGAAACTTACTGTGCACTAAGCTCTAGAGAAGAAATGGCAAACAAGATAGATGTGGTCACTCTTCTTAAGATCTGTGTTCCAGTTGGGAGGCAGATAATAAAAATTAAATATATAAACAGGAGAAATACTGAAATAAGTGCCAGAAAGCATGGAAATGGAGAGTCACTGGAGGAAGCGGCTTTTATATCAGGCCTCTCTAAGGGAGTGTATCTAAGTGAGATCTTAAGGAGAAGGAGTGAGCCAAGTGAAAAGTAACGGTGAAGTTGTTCCAGGCACAGGGAGCGTGGCGCTCAGGGGCCTGGGAGCTGGGCAGTGGCGGGAGCCCGCTGGGTGAGGAGGGGGTGGCCTTTGGTGAGAATGGAGGGGTCTGCAGCGACAGGTTATATAGGGCCGTGTTGACCATAGGAAGGAGTTTAGGTTTTATCCAAAATCCAGTGGGAATGCATTGAAGAAACTCTTAAAAGCTACAAAGTCCAGTTTATGTTTTAAGAGGAGCATGTTGAGTGCTATGTGAAGAATGATGGTTAACAATGGGGCAAAAGGGGAAGGCTTGATTGGGTTGGATAAATATGTGTATTTGGGGCAGGACAGGGAAAGAAAAGAGTCAAGGACGGGTCTTGGGTTTTTTTGCTTAAGGTAGCTGGAGGCCTTACTGAGATGGAGATTACTCAGGGAGAATGGAGAGGTATCATTTTGGACATTAGGTTTGAGATACCTATCACAGGGTTGAGTGGAGGTATCGAGGAGGTAATCTGACACTCAAAGGAGAGATCAGAGCTTAAGAATCATCAGCATGTAGTGTTTAAAGTCAGAGGAATGGTCCTGAAAGTTTTCTTTTAAAGCCAGAGAAATAAAGAAAAACCACCCATGTCATCTATTCAGAAGTGGGCATACATGGAGTGCATAGACCTACATCTCATAGGGTGCCGCTGTGAGTCCGACAGGGGTAGGATTGGGTTCTTCAGGAGTACTTGTGTGTCGTACCTTTCCCTTTTCTTCCTTCATTATGTTTAGGTTGCTGATCATCGAGTGAAGCTCCAGGAATTAGAGAGTCTCATGGCAAACCTTGGAACTGGAGATGAGGTGGTGACAGATCAGGCCTTTGAGGATAGACTGAAGGAAGCAGAGAGGGAAGTTACGGACCTCCTCCGTGAGGCCCAGGATGTCAAAGGTACACATGACTGAACAGTGGTTCAGTGCAAGGTTAATTAGATGTGGTTCCTAATTCAAGGTTAATTAGTATTGTTTTATAAAATTCTTAATTTTTAAACTCCTCATTGAATATGAATTATTTCAATTTTAGTTCAATATTTTAAAAAACAGGTTGTCAACTCCTAATGCTTTAGGATATAGTAATCATAAGGTGATTTTCCAACAATTTCAAGTGTTTTATGAATCTGTTCTAGTACAAGGTATCTTAAAATAGTTTTAAAAATTAATAAAGACATGCATTTTTGTATGTAGTATTTTAAGTAAAAAATTTGAACTTCGATTTTCCATCATTCTAGTGAATGAGAATTTACTTAATGTACCATGCTTTATTTCCTTAGAAAGGATTCTCATAAGGGAAAATTGTGGTTTTCAAGTATTGACTGAACAGTTAACTATTGAATATACAGCACTTAATGTTTGTGAAAGTAAACATTAGAAATTAGTACTTGTGAATTTTCTAATTAGCAAACAAATGTGCTGATAACATTATACAGTAGTATATGTTTTACATATTATGTTCATTTTTATGGTCCGTTGCAATTAAATCAGTCCTCTGCACATTATCTGCTGAGACTGATGATAAGCCAAGAAGAGGTTGGCTTAAGATTTAGAAAACAGTATGTTTATTTTAAAATACTTTATTGACTTTAAAAGAAAGTTTTTAAAACTTTGAAATGAAAAAAGTTATTAAATAATTTGCTTTTTCAATCACTTTAAAATTTATTTTTATTTCTTACTCTGTGAAGTAAGCTTTCTTTTAAACGTAGACAAGTCCTTTTTACACTTACTGAGTGTTAAGTAGTACAGTAGGTCCTCATTTAACATCGTCAATAAATCACTGTGACTTCAAGTGAAATGGCGTACTGTATGCTGCAGGAACTTAACTATTGTTTATATCGATTAGCCTGTAGTAAAATTGGTTCCATTATCCAGTACATTATTTGCTTCAAGTTGCATTTTCCAAGAACCTATCAACAACATTGAGAGGACTTACATTGGGCTAAACACCAATAATGAAAAGATGAATAAGATACTCCTCCTGCTATCACAGTGCCCACCATTAGCCTGAAGTCGCTTTTGTTTTGAGGATTTCCATCTTTGAGATGAAAGTGATCACAGATACGAGTAGTAAATGTGCATTAAAACTAGTATACTTGGGACGGCAATGATTGACTTCACCATTGAGTTTATGAGTCTGTATCCATTTGGAGTTACCTAGACAAGTCTTCCCGTCAGAGTATAGGTCAACAGAAAGTAAATACAGTGTTTATTGCTTGTTGTAAATAGCTCTAATATGTAGTATTGTGATTCTATAAAAGTACCAAAGTCGAAAAAGAAGTAATTAGATGTATCTGTTTTGGGCCAGTTTGTTTGATTTTTGTATGAGAGTCTAGAAATTTTTCCATAGGGTAAATTTTTAGAAATCGAAAAAGTAAAATGAGAGAGGTCAATAGCTTATTTTAACTTTAGGTGTTTTGGTGTATTTGCTTTTGTTTGGGTTGTTGTTACTACATCTTAAGTCTTAAACATAGATTAAGAAGAATTTAAGGCAGGGCGCGGTGGCTCACGCCTGTAATCCTAGCACTCTGGGAGGCTGAGGCGGGTGGATTGCTCGAAGTCAGGAGTTTGAAACCAGCCTGAGCAAGAGCAAGACCCCGTCTCTACTATAAATAGAAAGAAATTAATTGGCCAACTAAAAATATATAGAAAAAATTAGCCGGGCATGGTGGTGCATGCCTGTAGTCCCAGCTACTCGGGAGGCTGAGGCAAGAGGATTGCTTGAGCCCAGGAGATTGAGGTTGCTGTGAGCTAGGCTGACGCCACGGCACTCACTCTAGCCTGGGCAACAAAGCGAGACTCTGTCTCAAAAAAAATAAAATAAAATAATAAAATAAAATAAAATAAAATATAAAAAAATAAATAACTAGAAGAAGAAGAATTTAAACCTTTCCTGTTTTATGTAAACCAGAGTGTTTTTTTAACATTGTTCATTTTCCAGCAACAACTTTTGGCATACATGTTTTTCCATTAATGCATTCTCTTGAAACAACAAATTCTTATGTCTTGCTGCATACATTAAAGAATGTAGGGGTTATATTCTTAAGTACCAATCAGGCCAACCAGGAGCTGGGGTCTGGCACACATCTCTGGTGCCAGCACCACCAGCAATGGGATTAGGCCAACAGGCAGAAAAGGAAGGTCAGCCAGAATTGGCACCTGTCTCAGCCCTGAACATCTGGGCGCAGCCCCAGCTGCATATAGCTGCCTTTGGCCACAGTTACTACCGACTTTGCTGTTCCCAAATAGGTGATTCTATTGGATGGAAGCTCTGATAGGAGCCATAGTGATCATACCTCCCCTTGAGCCACCTGAAAGTGGGGAACGTGTGGGCTGCTGCTTCTGATAGCATCATAGTGGGGCTGGGATTAAAACCCATGACCCCTAAAACCTGCGTCATGGAGTTCCTGGCTGACTTTTCCTGTTTAGGTTCAGACTAGCCAAGAATGAAAATGTCTCCATAATGATTTCTCTTTTAAGACTATCCCTAAGTATTCATTTGTAGTTGAAACTTGTGTTTATTCTGCAGACTTAAAAAGAGATTATATGGTGCAGTTAGGTCTTTCAAGTAGACACTTGGAATTGGAAGGCATTTAAAGTGAACTTACCAGTTAGGTTATCTGTCTTTCCTCTTTTCAGTTGTTACTGTTTCTCTAGAGAACTGGACAGAGATATCAATGTCTATTGCATTCTTGAAGATTTAAAGGGAAGAAGCTTCTATAACCTCATTGGCTGCTTAGGCTTCCTAAATCTAAAATGATTTATAAGCTTGTTTTTATTCTTCGTATTGTCTTAAAAATCTTTAGATTATCAGGGAATTGCTTAAGTAGTCCTCCAAGCGGACCACTATATAGTAGTTAGGCAAGAGTTGTGTACTACATCACCTTTGTACATGTATTTCATGGCCCTGCTTCCAAGTTGCTATTTTCCAAACCTGTATTGGTCTTAACTTTTTTACATTTCTTGGAAAATTTAGACCCCAACACTGGGCATCATGCTGAAAAACGAACAGGTCAATATTGAATAGGACTTATTGGTACTTAGTGATTTTTTATGTATTATTATAATCTCATGACGTGAGAATTTTAATAATGATGGGCTTATATTTATCTTTTGATTTATTAGGATCCAAGTAAGAGGTTTAAGTCGAATGGATATTATTAATAAAGAATAATTTGAAGAACTATTCAAAAACAAACATCAGTTTGAAAGAAATTACATGGATATGCTGAAGCATGGGGGTGGCAGCAAAAGTCCCTTTAGTTTAAAATACAAAATGAGTTTAATTTGCCAAACGTTGACATCTGTTTTGAACCTAGGTTTTGAAAAATTGTCAGCTCTTGGGGCTAAGGCTGGCAGCTTTTTTTTTTTTTTTTTTTTTTTTGAGACAGGGCTCACTCTGTTGCTCTGGCTGTAGAGTGCAGTGGTATCATCATAGCACACTGCAACCTCAAACTCCTGGGCTCAGGTGATCCTCCTGCCTTCCAAGTAGCTGGGACTACAGGTGCATGACATCATGCCTAGCTAATTTTTCTATTTTTTTGTAGAGATAGGGTTTCACCATGTTGCTCAGGCTGGACTCAACCTCTTGGCCTCAAGCAATCCTCCCACCTCGGCCTCCCAAAGTGCTAGGATTACAGGCATGAGCCACCACACCCAGCCCTGGAAACATTTTTAACAACACTATATATTCCTGATTACATCTGGCATGTGTACTAGAACATTAAAGTCAATCTTTTTTTCCTTTATCAAACATTCCCTGCGTGTCTTCTCTTTGCCAACCACTGTATAAGACTGCTGATACGGTGATGATTAAGAAAGAGGAGCTCACAGTGAAGTGGGACAGACGGGCACAGGATTGGAGAACATTGGGACGGCCGTAATAGTGAAGATCCAGCCAGGCAAGGGAAAGACTGACAAGCTCTGCTGGCGGGCTCAGGGCAAACTTGTCAGAAAGGTGCTATGTTTGGAAGAGTAAAGAAATGCTTCAGATTCCGTGTGAGATGCTATGTCCCCTTCAGATAATTGACGGACTTTCTTCTGTAATACCATTTCAGATGTAGACCAAAATCTGATGGATCGCCTCCAGAGAGTGAATAACACTCTGTCCAGCCAAATTAGCCGTTTACAGAATATCCGAAATACCATTGAAGAGACTGGAAACTTGGCTGAACAAGCACGTGCCCGAGTTGAGAACACAGAACAGTTGATTGAAATTGCATCCCGAGAACTTGAGAAAGCCAGAGTTGCTGCTGCCAACGTGGTGAGTGATTGTGAAGGTCTGGGGTGGGGCTGGGGGAGTCCCCTGGCGATCTGTAGCCAGTCTGTTACTGGCGGTGGAGTGCTTCAGCTAAATTGACTCCTTGTGTCTTTTTATTTGTCCCTAAATATGAGCAAGAAAAAGCCATGTTGCACATAGTTGGCATGAAACAGTTATGAACTGGAAAAAAAAACAAGGGACATCTGGGTTCTTTCTCTAGTTTTGTTCCTTCTATGGTACTATGCAATTTAATCTTCCTTTATCCTTTACTGAAAATAGAAATAATCTGCAATCAAGGGTACTGATATTAAGTAAAGATCTCTGAAAATAAGAGGCATTCTTTTTGCCCTCTAACACTAGTAAAAATTTTGTTTTAACACTTGCTATATTAAATTTTAATAATTCAGTTCTTTGAGAATAAGTGCTTTATTTCTTCTTCAGTCAGTTGCTCAGCCAGAGTCTACAGGGGACCCAAACAACATGACTCTTTTGGCAGAAGAGGCTCGAAAGCTTGCTGAACGGTAACCTCCAGATCCCTGTTTAATGGTTAAGTGGTAGCTTGCCTTATGGTGTGTGTGTGTGTTGTCTGTCCCATAACCCATAAACACTTTGCATATAACCTGCTTTTGTAAGATTGGCTCTCTATTCTGAAATGCTATCAGCTGTGTGTACTCTTTCTTCCTTTTACTTTGAAATTACTTAAAAAAAAAAAAAGTTATAGATTTGGGGTTACATGTGCAGATTTGTTATTAATACATGGATATATTACATAATGATGAAATCTGAGCTTTTTTTATAACCACCACCCATAGGAGAATGGGAGGACGGGAGTGGGGTATGGAATGAGAAATTACCTAATGAATACTACAGACTTTGAAATTAGAATATTTACTTTGAACATTAGAACATGATGGTTTGAAGAGAAATTGTATTTGCACATCTCAAAGAAAACCATAACATTTTTATTTTTTAATTTCAAAGTTAATAGATTTCTAAGAATCTCAGCAGAATTTAATTAAAAATATTTCTAACTTCTTTTTTAAACCAAAATGTTTAATTTTCAAATCTCCATAGAAAACACTTACTAACCCATAGTACATTTGAAAATCAGCCAAAGAAAACAGATCATTTTCATTTCTGATTTTTTAAAAGACTTTTTTATTAAGCATAAGGTAATTTCTTTGTAAGACTTTTAAATCATAGAGGGCATTAGTTGTAAAGATTTTTAAAAATAAAATTGCTAAAATGTAGGCTCCATAAGGGCAGGCATTTTTGTGTGTTTTATTCATTGCTAAAGCCCCAGTGCCCGGCATGTAGTAGTTATTCAACAAGTGTTTGCTGAATGCTTTATAGAACAGTTAGTAGACCTTGTGGGTGTAGGTACTTAAGTAAGCCTGAGGTTAGACTGTCAGCCTCAGTGTCCAGAGCAATTACATTGGTCTCTTGCTTTAACATGTGGTCTCTTTCTCTTCTGTGTAAATGTGAGTGTGTGAGCTGTGTAATCTAGTTCACAGAGCATTCATGGTTTCATAGCTGGATTTTGTTATTAAAAGAAGGTAGCTCAACACATCATAGAAAGCTCCCAAGAAAACTAGGTCTTGGAGATAAATTAATTCTGATGGGCTTTATACAGGGATTTTGAATGAAAGTTTATCATACCAAAAATAATGGCCACATACTGTAGTGTGACAATGTAATATGAATTTTCAGATGTGGAAAAAACCTTAGTAGTTACCCAGCTAAAATACATTATTTAACTGGAGTCCCTCTTGACATGTTCGTTGCCATCTGGTGTTGAGTTACTTTTCCTACCAGTAGCTAGGTTGCATATGAAAAATCTGAATAGTCAAAGATTTTTAAAGCCTGTGTAGTCACTGTGAACTAGACTAGCAGATTGTTGTTAATAGAGATTAGGCCTGGGATTTGTGTTTATGACTGGACAAATGATTCTTGCTAGCATACATGGTTTTATATGTAAATTACTCTTAAATAATTGTATTTAAAAATGTTTTTTTCTGAAGAATTATAAACATTTCCTCTATAAATTTTATACCATTAATTTTCTTGGACAATAGCCTTATTTCAGTTTATAGAATGCTATTCATAAACTCAGCCCCACTGAAATGATGACAGAATTCCAAATTAGAGTTATTCCAATATTTGTAGAACTCTGCCCACATTGGTATATGCACATAAAATAAAGGGAGCATTATCTGAATTTTATTTTTTTTCTATCAGATGGTTCTATTTCATGGCTTCTTTTTTCTTTTATTTGGATAGCCATAAACAAGAAGCTGATGACATCGTACGAGTGGCAAAGACAGCCAATGATACATCCACTGAGGCATATAATCTGCTTTTGAGGACACTGGCAGGAGAAAATCAAACAGCATTTGAGATTGAAGAGCTTAATAGGAAGTGAGTATAATTGAACAGTGGCTTGCAGTGCTTCAGATGTTCTTGTGAGTAGCACTAGTTCAATGAAGAATTAAATGCTGGTGGACTCGGGGTATGCATTCATGCAGTAGAATTTCCTTTGTTGATCATGCTTTTGAAATGGTACAGTGATGAGAGCAGGGGATGTGGAGCCATAGAGATTTTGTTTGATTCAATTACTGTAACTGCAGAGAATGGTAGCAAGACCAGCCATGGTAACGAAAATTCTGTATGAATGAAAAAAGAAGAGAAAACACATGGTAGAGTAAGTAAAGAAAACATATAAACTTAAACAACATATCTTTAAAGGGTGTGTGAAATAAGAAAGTATATGACAAGACATACAGCATAAATAGAAGTAATGAGATAAAATGTAAATTTATGCTACATGTTGGTATTAAAATGAGAGCATTTTAAGGTGGCATTTCCTTTGAGGTTTCGGGAATGTTGTCATAGTGATGCAAACTAGGTTGAATCTGGTTAACATTGAGATGCTGAAAGCAGCTAGGTTATTCATTAAATCGCATCATTTGTTTCTCAGGTATGAACAAGCAAAGAACATCTCCCAGGATCTGGAGAAACAAGCTGCCCGAGTGCGTGACGAGGCCAAGAGGGCGGGCGACAAAGCCGTGGAGATCTATGCCAGCGTGGCCCAGCTGACCCCCGTGGACTCGGAGGCACTGGAGGTAGGGCGCACGCACAGCCCCGCCCCAGACACCCCGTCCGCGTCAGACCCGTTCTGACTGCCCCGCACCCCCTCCTCTGTCCTCCGCTGACTTGCTGCTAAAGCTGAGTCTGTTTTATGTACACGAATAGAACTTACCAAGGTGAAGAAGCCTGTGGTTATTATAAACATTTAATAGCAAAGACTATTTAATGATATAAATGATCACTCCTAAATCTTTAGTACAAATCCAAATTATAATATATTCAAATGACTTAAAGCTTATGAGTACTTATTTTAAATTTGAAAATAGGCAAGACCAATAACCTGTGATGATAAAAATCAGAATGGTGGCAGCTGAGGTGTTGGAAAGGTGAGGTGGAGACTGGCTGGAAGGGGATAAAGGAAGCTTCTTGGGGTGATGGAAATATTCTGTATCATCATTGGGGTGTTGGTGATGCAGGGAAATTTATTTGTCAAAACTCAATCAAACTTGCCAAAGCGGGAGGATCACTTGAGGTCAGGAGGTGGAGACCAGCCTCAGCAAGAGGAAGAGCTCGTCTCTACTAAAAATAGAACGAAATTATCAGCCTATATCCTTAGCTCGAAAAAAAAAAATATAATCAAGGATAATAAATCGCCAATCAAAGAACATAAAAAAAATAATAATAAAAAAAGAAAGAAATTAGCTGGCCAACTAAAAATATATAGAAAAATTAGCCGGGCATGGTGGCGCATGCCTGTATTACCAGCTACTCGGGAGGCTGAGGCAGGAGGATTGCTTGAGCCCAGGAGTTTGAGGTTGCTGTGAGCTAGGCTGACACCACAGCACTCTAGCCTGGGCAACAGAGTGAGACTCTGTCTCCAAAAAAAAAAAAACTCATCAAACTACATGTAAATGTGTAAATGCTGTGAATTTCACTTTGTGTAAAGTATACCTCAATTTTTTTTAAGAAGGTCCATAAAGTCTTGATCTGTGGTATTCTTTTAAAAATATCTATTGAGGATTAAGTGTTACAGAATTTCGAAGCCTATCTCTTCATCAGTTTAATCATTTTACCTAAAATATAGTGATTCTTCTCTTTCAATTTTCTTGTGGAAAAAAATAAAAATAAAAACATAATGTAGTGATCCTACTTGCTTTTTACAGAATGAAGCAAATAAAATAAAGAAGGAAGCTGAGGATCTGGACCGCCTGATTGACCAGAAGTTAAAAGATTATGAGGACCTCAGAGAAGACATGAGAGGGAAGGAACTTGAAGTAAAGAACCTTCTGGAGAAAGGAAAGACCGAACAGCAGGTTGGTTTGATCTGCAGGTTGCCTCCTTTCTTGAGGCGTATTTGAAACAGTCCAGGTGTCAGTGGTGGCTGCGATGACAGCTGGGTGCAAAGGCGGCAGTCTTCCACATGGCGCCCGGGCCCCACGTGCTGTGTGCTGGGAAGTCTCAGGGTGGCCAGGCTGTGCGGGGCCTTGTCTGTGAGGAGCGAGAAGGGGTTTGCTGTGGGGGTCCGTCCTCTGACCAGCCGTGTGTTTGCAGACCGCGGACCAGCTCCTCGCCCGAGCTGACGCTGCCAAGGCTCTTGCTGAAGAAGCTGCTAAAAAGGGACGCGACACCTTACAAGAAGCCAATGACATCCTCAACAACCTGAAAGGTAGGAAAGGCTCCAGATACCAAGGGTGAATTTATATGTTTCCTCCACTGGGGTGATTTCGTTGTTTTGAAATCATGGTTTTGACCACATCCTCAACACCCTACTTTTTTTACTGAAGTGTTTCAAAGAAAATCCCCGAACTCATGTCATTTTATCTCTGCGTACTTCAGTATGAAAACCAAAAAAAAGACATTTTCTTATGTTAGGGTAACTCACATAACCAAGATACCATTTAGCTGACTTACGTTGGCAAATGGATTTCACTTTCTTTGCCAGTGACACCTAACGCTGTTTTCCTTCAGCCTAGATAGAAATGTTCACTGAGTAGCCCTAGATTCACTTCTGATAAGATAGAGGTTCTGTAAATATGGAAACTTGATAGGATAATGGTTGAAAGTACGGGCTCTGGCATCAGGGGACCTGGGTTTGAATCATTGCTTCAAAAATCATCTATCCTGTTTGATCCTCACTTAGGAAAGGGATACAGCTTGCATCACGGGGGCATAAAGCTCTTAGTACCTGACACATAGTGAACACCAACAAATTGCAGCTTCTAATGCCGGATGAGGTGTAATAATGGCATGCTTAGCACTGTGTGTTAGCACTCGTTTTTCAAGTAAGAATTCTCCTTCCAGAAACAGATATATGTTCACATGACTATTCCTGGGAAGCCTTCTCTGTAGAGATGTGTACTTTGCTCTTCCAAGATTCAGCCCAAGCTGTTTTCCATTGTTTTCCCTGGCTTTCATTATTTATAGCAAAAACTTCGGTTACAGCTCCCTAAATGATTCCCCTTTTGCTCGCTGGGAGTTCAGTCCAAACGCATTCCTTGAACGCCTTGTAGATTTCGACCGGCGCGTGAACGATAACAAGACGGCCGCAGAGGAGGCGCTGAGGAAGATTCCCGCCATCAACCAGACCATCGCGGAGGCCAACGAGAAGACGAGGGAGGCGCAGCTGGCTCTGGGCAGCGCCGCGGAGGACGCCACGGAGGCCAGGAAGAGGGCGCACGAGGCGGAGAGGATCGCAGGTGCCGTCCAGAAGGTGCGCGCCGCCCTCCCCTCCACGGCAGCTCTGCCGCTGCTTCTGTCGCTCCCAGGTTCTCCCAGACTCCGAAAGCCCTCGCGGATTTTTTTCCTTGGCTCCAGTAGAACTATCTTAAACTACGCTTATCCTTTTTTTTTTTTCACACTAGGTGTTAGACAATATAAGTAACCACATTGAAGACAGGCAATCAGTAAAAAGGCCCTCTACTCCAAAATTTGTACTGTGTCCCAGTGCGGAATCTGTGGGTGTCAGGAAGGAGGGTGGCTTCAGGGGGCTGTAGCGCCCTTTCCCACAGAAAGTGAGACCCTTCCTAAATAAACATGCTTCTTTGACCTGGACAGTTGATGATTTTTTCGGTATTATGGAGAATGCCTTATCAACGCAACTTTCAAACCTCCCTCAAGCGTATTGCCGTATCTAAGCCCCTCCTGTAAGTCTGTACTTCTTGTAGCTGTCACTGCTGGATTTCTTTACGCTCATCTTAATGAATGGCTGACTTTTTCCTATTTCAAGATTAATCTATTTGTTTTATTTAATGGAGAGATTAGAGCAATTCTACAATTAGGTATTTGAGAATCACAGATAATTTCTAGTTTCTTTAGAAGAGCTTGCTTTTGGATTAGTTACATTTTATAAAATACCCACATTTCAGGATTGTGGTCTTTTTGTACCTCATGATGAACTGCCAAGAGGAATGAAGCTAACTTTGAATTTAAAATTTATCCAAGTGAAAACGTCTGATCGGTATGATGTGGTGGAAAATGTACACCATTAAATGTTTATAACTTGCTAGCAGTGTGACCTCAACTAAAAATGGTAATAATAGAACAGAAAGTTTCCAGGATTAAAGAAGAAGATACAAGTGAAAGCGCTTTATAAAATACAAAATGCTAAGATGTTAGGCAGTAATGTTATTTTTTTATTACTGTTATTTAGAGCCCAAATAAATGATAATACAAGTCATGAATAGTATAAATCAGTGTATTATTCTTTCTGGATTATACTTTTGAGCCATTTTATGATTATAAAAGAAGTAAGAGTATACTTTTAAAAAAGAAGACTTTTTTATTAGCAATTTACTTATTTTGTGCCTAGAATGCCACCAGCACCAAGGCAGAAGCTGATAGAACTTTTGCAGAAGTCACAGATCTGGATAATGAGGTGAACAACATGTTGAAGCAGCTACAGGAAGCAGAAAAAGAGCTGAAGAAGAAACAAGACGATGCTGACCAGGATATGATGATGGCAGGGATGGTAAGAGGTTTGGGCGTATTTGTGGCAGAAAGTGAGGGTGTTTAATAATCAAGGTCCCATTTTCTTGAGAAGAATCTTTTTCATATTGACTTCTGTTTTTCATCACATTTTCTGGTCAAGAATTGGGTTAGTAGCTTACATAGAAGACAAAGAATTTGGATCTTCTGCCAGATGTTTCTCTTGCATAATTGTCCTGTCCCAAAGCAGCTCTCAGTTAAAAGCAAAACATTATTAACACATTTGAGGTTTTAGGACATTTAAAAGTACGTGTTTATATTTTTGAATGAATAATTCTTAAATGGTACAAAATCAAAAAAGAACAAAAGGGGATACAATGAAAAGTTAATTTCCTTCCTATTCTTGTTCTCCCAGCAACTAGCTCCTTAGAGGGGAAAGACCAGTTTCTTGTATATAAGAAAATTTTGAAGATAGCATTGTCCACCACCCCACACTTATATCCAGTTTAATTTTTCACTTTATGCGATAATGTGTATACATAGCACCATTTATAACAAGATTGACTTGTGAACTCGTGGCGCGAGAAAGAGCTATGGTTCATTTTTCTGTTCTGTGCTATATTTTGCTGTGGGAAGACTTTGGTGGGGTCAAACTGGGGCTATTCCCTCCCAGGTCAGTGTGACAGTACTGGTCTACGTGCACTTATTGGCATGCACATTTTTGGTGCAAGGAAGAGGCTGGTTTTTTCACTATTGCTACAAATCAGGGCCCCTCACTGTGGGTCATTTTCACCTTGGGATGGGAAGGAGAAATGCAAGGCCTGTTAATGTCAGCAAAGAAAACAATCCAGGGAAGTGACAACAGGAAGCATCCCTGTGCAACACCTGATTTTATTATTTTTTCATTGTTGTTTTTAGGTTTGGATTGTCCTCGTGCTTTGTGGCATGGTGTGGCTCAAGTGGAAATTGCCATATAATAAAAATAGATATTTCTTATATGTGCTGAGGGTCTATGGATTTCATTTTTGATATGGTTGTAGAAACATTAGAGTTAGAGCCTAGTGAGAAAGAAAAGAATATATTTTTTATGTGCGTCAAAAGAAGGTCCGTCTTTTGTTACTTTTGGTAAACAGCTTCTAAGGAAATAAACCACTCTCATGTACACTGTCCCATTTGTATTTATATCAATTCTGAAAAGCAAGCATTTGGCCAGTATCGTTTGAGTCTGTAACGTATTTATTTTGACTAAAAGACCTGTGGTTGCTCGTGGAGGAGTAGGCAGGAGGCAGGCTCAGCGCAGTAGTATTGCTCTTGGCAGGCCGTAGCGAGCCCTTTCTCCCCTCCTAGTGTGCTCGCAGACGAGCTTGTGAGGGCTCAAGAGCAGCTGTGATTTGAACAGAGATTAATCATTTATTTGTGAAGGTTTTTTGCCTTGCTTGCTTTTTCTTTTTAAAATTTTTACATTGTTTTGATCCCACAATTTTTGTATTACCTCAACTCAAAACCAGAAAAAAATAATTAATTATGTCTTAGGGAGCTTAAAGTCACTTATATCCTGACTAGATTTATTTGTGAGAGCATCTGTTTTCTGATATTTAGACACTTCCTCTCCTGTTGCTGTTTCCTGTGACTCATACACAGTTGTATTTGTTCAGGTTTCATGGAATTTCCCCAAATATATTTATCTTTGGTTGCATTTTAAAATCTAAATCGTATTGCCCTGATAAATGAGCGTGTGTGTTGGTGGAAGGGGGTTATAGCTGGGGGAGTTTACAGAAGAGCTTCACTTGATTATGAAGATTTTCTAAGAACAGGGTATTTCTAATAAGCCACTAAGAGTGTTACAAAAAACATGTTTTGGTTCTAAAATGTAGTTTCCATACTCATCCTTAAAAAATAACTTACTTCTGCTTGATGGATTTTATGAATACTTTCATGTATTCTTTAGAAAGAAGGTGCGAAAAGGAGATAATCTTGATTTCTAAAATGCAAATACAGTGAGTGTAGGCATACCACCTGCCTATTCATGACTGCATTAAGTAGAAATAGCAACTTCCTCAACATGAAGATACGGCCCCCCAAAAGCAAAAACCTGCAGTGAGAGATTGTAATTTCATGAGGTGGAAAAGGGGAAAGCACCTGTAAATTAGATTTTTTGGCTCATTAGAAAAAAAAATTATTTAAAGAAGATGAAAATATGTAGTCAAGACTATTCATATCAGCTGGGCTTGGTGGCTCACACCTGTAATCCTAACACTCTGGAAGGCTGATGTGGGAAGATCACTTGAGCTCAGGAGTTCGAGACCAGCCTGAGCAAGAATGAGACCCCGTCTCTACTAAAAATAGAAAAATTAGCCGGGCATTGGTGGCACGCACCTGTAGTCTAGCTACTCAGGAGGCTGAGGCAGGAGGATCACTTGAGCCAGGAGTTTGAGGTTGCTGTGAGCTAGGCTGACGCCACGGCACTCTACTCAGAGCAACAGAGAGAGACTCTGTCTCCAAAAAAAAGACTATTCATATCATTTATCCTTTTTCCAGGCTTCACAGGCTGCTCAAGAAGCCGAGATCAATGCCAGAAAAGCCAAAAACTCTGTTACCAGCCTCCTCAACATTATTAATGACCTCTTAGAGCAGCTGGGTAAGTAGCTGCACTCATCGTAGTCAGTCTGCAAATCCTTTGTACTGTTCTTGGGATCTGATACACTATCATTGAGGCAAAAACAGATAATACAGGGTTATTAAAATCCCTTTTAAGTCATCTGTTAAATTATAATGTTTCTTTTAGCGCTTATTTAAAAAATGCCTTATAAAATAGGTGTGCATCTTGCATGGTAGAGCCTTTAAGATATTGATATATTCATCAGTTTTTTGAGCGTAACCTGAATCATGATTTTGGGTTGTATTAATTTGACAAGTACCTAGTGGGTGCCTTCCATGGACCCTGCCCTACATAGAACACTGTGGTCTTGAGGGCTTTCCTTTCATATTTTGAAGATATATTTCCAGCCAGGGTGGCTCAGTTATAGTGCAAGTAAGTGGTGATTTTTCTTAACTCATCCTGCTGTCAGAGAGCATCTTTAAGAGATTTAAAGTGAAAGATTTCAATGATAGAGTAAAAGAACACTTAAAACTGGTCATAACTTCACTGCCTGGAATTCTCTCCATTTGCTAACCAAAGGACAAACTGATGAGGGGGAAACTTTTATACCAAAAGAGAGAAAAACCTTGATTGTTCAAGGAAATATAAGCATACTGAAACCTTCTTTTAATCCAGTTTGCTAGGGTGCAAGCTTCATTTTAGGACAAATGTACTTTTGTCACCAGAGTCTATTATAAAGTGTCAATACTCTTGCTAGTAATATTTGTAGCAAGGCATTATATATTAATTTGCTATCCTTTAAAGATTGGTATGTTTTGTTTTCTGTGGGAGAGGAGGTGTTGAGGGGTCATTTATTAAATCTGTCTCAAATGTCAAGAATAATAAGTTATGTGCCAGCAGATAGGTTTAAAATGAAAATCAGCTATAAGAGCAAGCTTTTTGTGGAAGAAAGGGCTGGACTTAGTCAGACTCGGGTTAGAATCTTTGCTTTGTTGCCTATAGGCTATGCAAACTTGGGGGAGTTATTTAACATCTGAGAATCACTGATGTATTTAATAAAATGACCTTGTGAAAATTTAATCAAGTAGAATTTGCATAAAGTATTGTTCATTGTGTCTGCTTTTGTTTATTATGGAAGCAGTTTATATCAAAAGAACCTCTTTTTCTTGGTAAGCTTAAAGTGAAGCTTTGCTGAAATTATTTCAGCATTTTGACCTTGGCCATTTTTCATAGGAAAGCTCTTAACATCTTGCCTAACTCCTGAAAGTAGGAAGCGAGCCCCTAAACCAACCCAGCTTTCCTTGAATCTGTCTAAGAGCTGAGAGCTTAGAGTTCTATCTTAGAGATTTTTATATCCTTTGATGGCACCAAAATAACACACAGATTTCATATATAAACCTGAAAAAGATTATTAAATGTTATCAGATGACCTTCAAAACCACATGTAAACCTTAAGGTCTAGAACATAGTATCTGTGCATGTAGAAAACATTCTGCGAGACCATTGTCTAAGAAAAAAACATCCAGACCTATATTAATTATATGCTCTGACCCATCCTTGCTGGGTTAGATCAGCGTTTGTACTTAGTATGCATTATGGCATCAACAACCTGCAAGGCACATTTGCAGGGCCACCTTTGCGTAGAAGCAGCTGCTTGGCTTAGAGGCTAGTGGAGGTACTTGTGGATTTACGCTGTAATTCTTACTGAATGCATCTGTTCTTTTCTGTGTACGTTCTGACTCTGCAGGGCAGCTGGACACAGTGGACCTCAATAAGCTCAATGAGATTGAAGGCACTCTGAGCAAAGCCAAAGATGAAATGAAGGTCAGTGATCTTGATAGGAAAGTGTCTGACCTGGAGAATGAAGCCAGGAAGCAAGAGGCCGCCATCATGGACTATAACCGAGACATCGAGGAGATCATGAAGGACATTCGCAATCTGGAAGACATCAAGAAGACCTTACCATCCGGCTGCTTCAACACCCCGTCCATTGAAAAGCCCTAGCGTCGTTAGGGCTGGAAGGCAGCACCCCCTGACAGGGGAGCCGTCACGAGGCCACAGAGTGCCTTGATACAAAGGTTACATTTTTCAGACCCCCACTTCTCTGCTGCTCTCCATCACTGTCCTTTTGAACCAGGAAAAGTCACAAAGTTGAAAGAGAAGCAAATTAAACAGCCTGAATCGGGAACAAAGGGTTTTATCTAATAAAGTCTCTCTTCCACTCACGTTGCTACCTTACCCACACTTTCCCTTCTGATTTGCGTGAGGACGTGGCATCCTACGTCACTGTACAGTGGCATAAGCACATCGCGTGAGCCCTTGTGTGCCAGGGCAGAGCAAGTAGCCCTCCCCTCTCGTCGACACCAGCAGAACCTCCTCAGTCTCAGTACTCTTGTTTCTATGAAGGAAAAGTCTGGCTACTAACAGTAGCATTGTGATGGCCAGTATATCCAGTCCATGGATAAAGCAAATGCATCTGCATCTCCTGCCCCTCTTCCTTCTAAGCAAAAGGAAATAAACATCCTGTGCCAAAGGTATTGGTCATTTAGAATGTCGGTAGCCATCCATCAGTTGTTTTAGCTATTTTGAGTATAGGACACTGAGCCATCCATGGGTAAAGATACAATTATTTATGAAATTCTCCAGGTGAACATGGCTGAAGTAGGCTGAAGATTTTCTCGTATATTAATAATTGACTAAGAAGATAAACTTTTTTCCAGATCTTTGGGCAGCTGATAATTTAAATCTGGATGGGCAGCTTGCGCTCACCAATAGATATCTTTTGATACTTTTATAAATGGAACTTATACAGAAGAAATAGGGATATGATAACCACTAAAGTTTTCTTTTCAAAATCAAACTAATTCTTAGAGCCATTTTATTAGGTTAGTCTTGGAACTAGTGTTATCTGGCAGAAAACAGTTGGTCCCTAAGATCTTGACAAACAAAACAAAAGCAAAACAAGCCTCCTGTCCTAGTCTTTTCTAGTGAAGGGGTAAAATTTAGATGCAACTAGTACTGTCAGGATCCCATATATCCATTTTTCTCTTGGAGAGAGATGAAACATATTCGACCCTTAGCTCCAGTTTTCTTCTGATGTTTCCATCTTCTAGAAATCCTTCAAAGAATCCCACATTGTTTGCCAAATCCTGGTGGCAAATACGTGTACTCAGTGTTTCACCCAGCTGCCAACGCCATCTGGTTCCTGCACTTTGTGATTTGACCCCACTCTAAACCTTCCCTCTGAGTATAGAGGGAAGACCTTTATGTGGAGTTTTCTAGGGGGCTTCTCAACTTTTGATCCTCAGCTCTGTGGTTTTATTTTAAGACCACAGTGTGACAATTCCCTGCCACACACCCCCTTCCTCCTACCAACTTGCCTTTGAGATTCATATATAGCCTTTAACACTATGCAACTTTGTACTTTGCGTAGCGCGGGGGGAAAGAAACTATTATCTGACACACTGGTGCTATTAATTATTTCAAATTTATATTTTTGTGTGAATGTTTTTTGTTTTGTTTATCATGATTATAGAGTAAGGAATTTATGTAAATATGCTTGGTCCTATTTCTAGAATGGCACTGTCTGTACACTACTTTGCTCAGTTTTTCCTCTTCACTGGCACAGTGCATCTGAATACCTCCTTCCGTTCCATCTAGAATTGTTTAGACTGTATCTGCTCCCCATCGCTTTGCTCTCTGCCTTGTGTTTGCAGCATCTTCATTCGCTGACATCAGTATCAACTTGCTTTCCTCCACACCCAGCCTCTGTGAAGAGGGAACTCAGAGCCTCTTCCATGGCAGTCCTCATGACCCTGAGACTGCAGCATGACGTTGTTCTCGATGTCCCAGAGCAGGAATGCCCGGTTGACAGGATATCGGGTATTAGGAACCTTTGCCGAAGAGGATCATTGACACCTTTAGGGGTCTAGCCAGGAATGAATGAGAAATGCCCTTTCTAGCAGTTGTTGGAGCTGGACGGGTCAGTTCCATGAGGGGCGCGTTATTACTGAGCACTTTCAAGGCACCAGGAGCACCGCTGCTGATGGGCAGACTGGGAGCGCGGTGGGACTTGTTCCTGTGCTCCCGCTCTGCCGTTCCCATCTGGCGGGGCCGCGAGAGTCTGCCGCGTTCTGACGTGGCGGACCCGGAGCTCACTCCGCGCTCTCCCAGGCCTCTTCTGCTGCCGCGGGAGGCATGGCTCTTGCCAGGTTTTCACATCGATGTTTCCTGGCTAGTTCCTCTTTCTGAGTGGCCACATCCTAACACAGGCATTTTCATCAAGGTCGCAGGAAGAGGACTGAAGAGCGATCGCCAAGCCACACGCTAGTTTGGATCAAGTTCACTCTGACAAGTCTTAGGCCACGGTGGGGTGTTTTGGTTTGGCTTGGTTTGGTTTCTTCCTTCCTTCTGTCTTTCTTTCTTTTCTTTCTCTCTCTTTTCTCTTTCTCCTTCTTGAACTGTGTGATATATTTTTAAACAGAATTTTATTTTTAAAATAAAAGTTCTTTATAAGATGATACCTTAATTACACTCCTGCAATATAGCCATTATTGTGTAGTTCCATTATCTGTATTTTATGTAATGAGATCGACAGGATGGCTGCTGCAGAATGCTGGGTGACACAGGGAATATAGACTGCTATTTTTCCCTGGAATTTTCCCTTTGAATTCCAGCTATGGCCCTTTTACGTGTGCCTTCACTTTAGCTGTTTGCCTTAATCTCTACAGTCTTGCTTTCCAGGGTGGTTAATAAAATGCAACACTTGGCATTTTTTATGTTTTAAGAAAAACAGTATTTTATTTATAATAAAATCTGAATATTTGTAACCCTTTATATTTGGTGTGGCCTGAGTGTGGGACTGGGGACATAGATGTTTTAAAAGGTGTAATGAGTGGAAACCTGCTCATGATGTCTTCTTTGGGTGACTGTTTTCTTGTGAACAATTCAATACTTTTTTTTTTTTACCTTTCTCAAATTGGGATACTTCAGTATAGCCAGAAGTTGCAAACTCTTTTCTGTAAAGACTTAGATAGTAAATAATTTAGGTTTTGCAGACCATGTACTCTCTGTTACAACTATTCAACTCTGCTGTCAAAACACAGAAGCAGCCATGGACAGTATATGAACAATGAGTATGGCTGTGTTCCAGTGTACTGTGTGTACACCAGACCCCCAGTGTAGTCTCAGTACTTGATTAATGATAACCAACAACTATTTTTAAATTATTTGGACTTCTAAATTAGCAGATGCATGTTAGAAATTGTCTTTCCATCTTTGAATATGCATGTGTCTTCAGCTAAATATAGTTTCTTCAGGGTTTGAGAAGCTCTCAAACCTATGATGGAATAAAAAGAAACCTAAGTAATGTGCTGCACTAGCAGGCCAGAAGCAGCTAATTGCACCCCACCCGGTCTGGAGGGTGGGCCCACCTGAAATGCCCTGAGACCAGGGGAGGCCTTCAGAGCTGCAGAGGTAGCAGGAAGGCTTGGTCCTACAAAGGCCTTCCCTTTACTCTTCAGTGCCCTGTTTATTGCCCTGGGTCCCCATGGGTTGGTTCAGTGCCACCTCTCCAATCTTGTAATTTGTTATAACTGTGTACCTGCAAAGAACCTGAACTCTTCTCATCAGACTTGCGCAGAGGAGGCCTTAGAGGGCACTCCTGTTTCTTACACTCCTGTTCTTAACCTTTACCTCGTGTTTCCTTCCATATATTGGGTCTGATTCAGATGCAGCTGTATCTCCTTTATAGTTACTATGTCACAGTGGCAAGTGGGATTTTTAAATTTTGCTCCTATTCCATCTGTTATTTTAGAGACAACAATTTCTCAAAAGTTGCTACCAGCATCATCTGATTCAAAATATCCCCAGATGTTTACTCCTTATATAAACATTCTAGCTCCTTAAGAAGTCTGAACTCACCAGCTCTACTTCCTTTGGGCTCAAAATGCAATGCCTGAAGAAGACCCCTGGCACCCAGGAGGGTCAGAGAAAAGCAGGTGATACCTTTGTAAAGTGAAGGAGGAAGGACCCTGTCCAAAGTGAGATCAAATCTCTCCAGGCCCATAGCGTATGGAAACAAACAAGAGAATTAAAATGACAGGTAGTGTTGCCTGTTCACACTAGCGGGTTTAAACAAAGTGAGTATGAGTAGAGTGAGAAACTGAGGTAAGCTATCAGAGGCTCCACTGGTCCTAGAGAGCTGTGATCAGCCGTTGTGCCGCATAATTTGTATTGAGTCTCCTAAAATGATGATACCTGTTCTACACTAGTGAATGAAATTCTAAATAGTAGAAATCAAATGCATGCTTAAGTAAGGGGGAAAATATTTAGCAAAAGTTCAATGAAAAGCCAAAAGTCCCTGATTTGGAATTCAGATATGAGAAACCTCACTTCAGATGTTATGACACCTCCATGTCTTTGCTTTAACTCTTCTCTCTGCCTTGAATGTCCTTTATTTCCTCCAATACAGTAAAGCCTAACGTCACAGTGTCACCTCTGCTGAAATTGACCAGTCCACCCCCCCGCCGTGCACTGGCTTCTGTAATACATGGGTCCTTGGACACATGTTTATTGCTCAGGTGTCACTCGCCCGTCTTTCGCCCCAACTTCGCTCCCACCCTTCCAAGATCAAGGTCTATATTATTCATGTTCACTTCTTCAGGGATGGGAGGCATGCAGTAGTCACTCAGGTGGTATAATGGTGTGAAGGTCATTGGTCTTTCTCGTCCACCTGTTCTCCCACACTTGTTACTTTTTTGCTGCTGTGAGCAGAGAGGGAGGTTTATACATACTTACTAATGACTCTCACCTCCTTCCAACAGCATTCTACTCCCTTAAACTCCCACCCAAGCACGAACTGGCCTCTTGTTGGCAGGAAGATAAGCAAAACCGCTGTCTTGCATGGAGTGGCACAGCACACACCACACACACTGCTGTGTGGTCAGCAACCAGCCAGTGCAATCTCGTCTTCAGGCCCATTGCCCTGGCTCCCAGCTCACACTTGCCCTCTCAATGCTACACATTTGTGTCTGCGGGTTTTACCCACACCCCTCTGTAGCCCAGTCCAAGTTGTAGCATTAGTTCTGTTTTTTTTTTTTTTTTCTTTAACTGTTGGAAATGATCCCAGTAAATTTCAACCAATTACTTGGTGTTCTGTTTGCATATGTACCTTAGCAAGCCTTGTAATCACTATAGGCGATAAAGGTACTACTTATGATTAATTCAGTGTAGTTTGTGTTTATTTCTATCAAAAGTTGAGCACCAGGCCCTTGAACAAGAAGTAATCTTCTGTTACATCATTGTTCCCATGAGTAAGTCCAAGTCAGTTTAAGTGATTCTCCATGAAACGTGCCTGGCTATACCTTTGCGGACATTCCTTCCATCCCCCCATAAGCCTCTACACCAGGGGGCCTCAGACTTTTTAAACAGGGGGCCAGTTCACTGTCCCTCAGACCATTGGAGAGCCAGACTGTAGTTTTAAAAAAACTATGAACAAATTCCTATGCACACTGCACATATCTTATTTTGAAGTTAAAAAACAAACAGGCAAAAATATCCACATGCGGCCCGTGGGCCATAGTTCGAGGATGCCTGCGTTACACCATGGCCAATAACAAAAAATTCTACTTGAACCTTAGACCAGTGCTCTTCCTGCTCATCCCATGGGGTCTGCCTTAATACTGAGATCCTTTGTCATTTCATAACTAAACACAACCATCAAATTTTGCTCCGTGTTAATTTTGTTAGTGTCAAGAATTTCTAGTGCAATTCCTTCCTGAATATTCAGTGCCTGTCTTCCAGGATATACTAACCTAATTTTCCTTACTCTTCTCTGTTAGTGGATCCCAGCCACTTTTTCCACGGACATTTCTCTCCCCCTGACTGTGGTCTCTGTGTCTGGGTTAGTGCAGAGTAAGCACAAGTTCAGCCATGAGCAGAAACGTCTGGAAAGATGTGCTGTCCGAGTGTGGATTACAAGTTCCTGGCTTGCTGAGACAGCGTCCAAGATAAAGGCTCAGGAGACACAGCTATGATTTCGATGATTATATGTTCAGCGTGGTCAGAGGGGTTTGTGTTAGAACTTGCTGATCCTCATGGCTCAGACAGTCTGCTCTCTGTGCTGTCTCGGTTGGGCTGATACAGAGGATCAGACCAGGCCAGAGAGATGACTTCTGCCACGCAGACTTCAGATAGCCTGCCCTTCCTAAGTTTCTGGGAGAGTCAGGACGGGCTGGCATTGTCAAGATAGCTTGTATGTTTTAAGGCACCTTCGTATTTATTTCCTTTCATTTGCCCTTTATTTGAGGAGAGTTTCCCTTTGACCAAGGGGTGGGGGGGATTCAAAGCATGGTTTGCTGTTCCACCACCTTTATCATTGCTTTAGCTCATTGCCTTATTCTCGTTCATAATTTTGATACCTTTGCATTCTAAGAAGAAAATAAACTTGCATTTTATTAAAAGCTGCCAAATCCCTTTGTTGGAGGGAGCAAGGCAAGATTTAAATATATTAGTAACTTTCCCAATATTAAGGAACCACTTACTGGCAGAATTATGGAACCTGATTGCCCTCAAGTAGGCTGGGCTGCACGCCCCTCTCCTGCGGCCCTGGTCTCTCTCTCCCTTTCTCTCCCCCTACTTAGGCTCGGGGATAAGGCACAGGAGGCCAGTTCACCTGGATCATTTTGCCTAATGAAGAACTCACCTAAAATTAAATTCTCTTTGCTATATTTTTGTGCCATTTCTATTTCCCTATTCCTTTTGCTTTTTAATAACTTTAGATTTTGTACTTTTCTTCTTTAAATAAGTTCTATTTGTCACAGCATTTTAATGATAAGATTGTTTTCTATTCTTTTTTTTTTGTTTGTTTGTTTTTTTTTTTTTTGAGACAGAGTCTCTTTGTTGCCCAGGCTAGAGTGAGTGCCGTGGCGTCAGCCTAGCTCACAGCAACCTCAAACTCCTGGGCTCGAGCGATCCTTCTGCCTCAGCCTCCCGAGTAGCTGGGACTACAGGCATGCGCCACCATGCCTGGCTAATTTTTTATATATATATCAGTTGGCCAATTAATTTCTTTCTATTTATAGTAGAGACGGGGTCTTGCTCTTGCTCAGGCTGGTTTCGAACTCCTGACCTTGAGCAATCCGCCCGTCTCGGCCTCCCAAGAGCTAGGATTACAGGCGTGAGCCACCGCGCCCGGCGATTGTTTTCTATTCTTACGGAAGAACTTTTTTCTACTTTTGAAACTGTTTTATTTTGAAACAAATCAAATTTGCAAAGGAGTCATAAAGATAATACAGACAGTTCCCATACACCCTTCACCCGGCTTCCCTTAACATTAGCATCTGACATAACTGCAGTACATTTATCAAAAATAAGAAATTAACACTGGTATAATACTATCAACAAAACTACAATCTTTCGCCTACTTTTAAACATCTTTTTAAAGGCCTCATCTTTAGGGTAATACTGGATTTTATAACAGAAAATGAGAATATTCAACATTAATACTGAGGGGTACCAGAAGTATGAAGTCCAAAATTATTTTACTTTCATATTACGCTCAAGACTTCCCAATGTAAACTTATTCATAGTTAAATTGCAAATAATGTCATTAAACAACATAATAAAATATCCTTCAAGTTTCAAAAGGAGATTTAAAATATCCATCTGAATAAACATGTCGTTCATAATATGCCACATACTTGTTATTTGCTGGATATAAGAAATTTACTTAGAAGGATTAAGTTTTTACATTTTTATTGTGACATCATTTCAGACTTACAGAAAAATTGCCAGAGTAGTAGAAAAGTTCCCAGATTATTTTACCCAGATCCTCT